CATAGAAAGTGTCATAGTGTACAATTTACTTATTCATCTAGTCATAAAATATTTATGTCTGTTTTTGCCATGCAAAGTGTCCCTGTGGAGTGGTTTATGTAGTCCTTTAAAATAGTGAGCTGGAAAAAGAATACTTTCTTCAAAATTGTTATCAATCCAACAAAGTGGATTGATAGCTTATCACCCCTGCAGTGTAAGTATGTTGATAGATTTCCTAAAGTTTTTTTTTAATGAAAATATATATAAATAATTCATTCTCCCTGGGTTGCTGACAAGCTTGGACATGTCCTTGATTTCATCATTTTACATTCATTCCAAATTTAAAGAGTTAAATTGCTATATAATTGTTCTGCCTCCCAGTACTATCTGGCTTGTTGCCTATTTTGTATTTCAGTATCAGGTTTTTTACACTGTGTGCCTGTCAAATTGGAATGCTGAACTACAGTTCATTTCAAAACAGTGAAAGAGGCTGAAGACATACTTGGCTTGATTTGTTCTTCTAGGTTATTGCTTTCCGTTGTGAAATCAATGTCAATGTTACACACATTTTTAAACAGGGAATATAATTGTCAGCAAATGTAGAGAAACCTAATCTTTACAGCAAAAGGAATACAGTAAAGATAACTTTTTCTGATAAATATTCCTTGAGAAAATTGTTGAGTATCAGAATTCTGATAAATTTAGCCATAGCTATTATCATTATGGAGTGTTCTGACTTATTATAATAATATTACTGCTAATACATATCAAAGTAATAAATTACTTTCCTTGCTGTTTATACCTTGATTGATTGATTGATCGATTGATTGATTGATTGGTTCGATTTATATGCCGCCCTTCTCCGGAGACTCAGGGTGGCTTACAATGCATTAAGCAATAGCCTTCATACTTTTGTATATACCTGCTTAGTAGGGTTTTCGCCTCCCCCATTAAGCGGTGTACTTTTTTATACAAAATCAGCTTACTGCCCCCACAATCCGGGTCCTCATTTTACCTACCTCGAAAGGATGGAAGGCTGAGTCAACCTTGAGTCTGGTGAGATTTGAACTTGCAGTAATTGCAGGCAGCTGGTGCTACTTAATAGCACTATAGTCTGCTACGCCGCCAAGGCTCTTCATTTTATTTAATTTATAATGAAAACCACACAATTGAACAATTTTCCTGATCATGTCTATGTATCTACACTGTAAGCATCTAGTTTTAGGCAGAAGAGGTTTGAAGGTAAGAAGTCACACTGAAGAGTTTATAACTTTTATCAGTAAAGTAACTCTGAAGGGTATTGTACAACATACATTTTGAAGACGTTAGAAAAATCGAATATATATATTCCAGGCATGATGCTAGTGCTCATGATCAGAAAGTAATAATTGTAGTAGAAATTTAATCTTTGCAATAACTTACATTCAAGAAACATGTATCATTTTTTTGTATAGGAAATTTACCATGATTTTCATTTGTGACAAAATAGGTACCTTCCCTAATTCTTTGGCTTGGCACTGGAGCGACATAGAATATTTATCTGAGGCTTCCCTCCTCACCCTGCCAGATAACTATCTCATTGAATGTTTCAGTCACAGAGTTACATTTTAATTACACTTTTAAATTGCAGTCCTCATTCCACAATCTTAATCTCACCCGCCTCAATTTATTTTTCCATAAATTCCATTGTCAACAATTCATTTTCTGTTACCCTTTTCAGTAAGTGCTTATTAGGTATCAGAGATAAGGAGTTAGTCTAATTGGTTTTCATGAAAAAGTAAAAACAAAATACAAAAAACCCTAAATGTAAGCAAAATTTTAAAATAAGAACTTTAGTTATTAAATATACAGTACATTATGCTATTTCATCCAGTGTAACTACTTAGATTGGCGGTAGCTAGTTGTGCTTTTTGTTTGTTTGTTTGTCTGTTTGTTTCTCAACTTCATTATATTCAAATGAACTTTTAGAAGCTTTCTTTTTATGTAAATATTCCAACTAAGATTCTTCCACCCTTCTTTCTCTTTCTTATTTTCTTTCTGAACTATAGATTTTCTCCTCCTCTTTCTCTGATTATAAAAATTTGAGTTTACTCTCACCATTCTAAAAAGCCGTTGCTTACTAATTGCCAGAGTATTTTGCTTCTGAATCAAGAAGAAAGCAATTACTCTTTAAGCTCTTAAAATATGGATTTAACCCTTCTCAGTTATATATCCATATTTACAGTTTTTACATGCATTTCAAAACAGCTTGTGTTCAATTTTGTCACAAGTTGCAGTACATGCTGTGCAACTCAATTTTTAAACAAATTTAATATAGAGTACAAGTGATGATTGCACAGATGAGGTCCAAATACGTCTCTCCTGCAACCCCCTGCATATCAGATGCAAAGAATCAGGATCATACATTAAGTTGCAGGCAAAAAGATTTATTGCTCAAACCTATACACAAGAATTAGAATTCTTTTATTGGCCAAGTGTGATTGGACACACAAGGAATTTGTCTTTGGTGTATATGCACTCAGTGTACATAAGGAGAATAAAATACATTCATCAAGAATAAAAAGATACAACACTTAGTGATAGTCAGGGTTACTAATAAGCTATCAAATGGTTCTAGGAAACAAGTAAAAATAATATAAATTGAAAGATACAAGCACATGGTTATAGTAAGAAGTGGGAAGAGATACTAGTAAGGAAGAGAAGAATAATAGTAATACAGTCTTAGTAAATTATTTGACAGTGTTGTGGGAATTGTTAAGCAGAGTGATGGCTTTTGGGGGAAAAACTGTCCTTGTGTCTAGTTGTTCTGGTCTGCAGTGTTCTATAGAGTCATTTTGAGGATAGAAATTGAAACAATTTATGTCCAGGATGTGAGGCGTCTGTAGATACTTTCACAGCCCTCTTTTTGACTCGTGCAGTATACTGATCCTCAATAGAAGGCAGGTTGGTAGCAATTATTTTTTCTGCAGTTCTAATTATCCGTTGAAGTCTGTGTTTGTCTTTTTGGTTGCAGAGCCAAACCAGACTCAATAATTCCTCTGTAGAACTGTATCAGCAGCTCTTTGGGCAGTTTGAGCTTTCTGAGTTGGCGTAGAAAGAACATTCTTTGCTGTGCTTTTTTGATGATGTTTTTGATATTAGGTGTCCATTTTAAGTCTTGAGGTATAATAGAACCTAGAAACTTGAAGGACTCTAATGTTGATACTGTGTTATATATATAGTCAATTATCATTCAGAGGAAAATTGGTGGTAGATAAGGGTCAACAGAATTCAAGAGGGATGGGATTTAGTATTTTTGTGGGAATGTAATGATTCCAGGCTGATGACTCACTTAATTCTGCCCATTCTCTGACTTTGCCTATTCTTCTCCTACACCACTCATCTGAAAATGTGCTGTAAAAGCTTGTAGACTCTTCAGGAATAAATTGTGATATAGGTAGGGAAGAAATAAAGTGACAATAACTCCCATTACAGTTTCAAAAGATAACTGTATAATGCATTGAGGTTGCATGTGAATAACCATGTTTAAGAGAGTGCCATAAACTTGTAGCTGGAAAAATAATTGTTTGTTGAAATAAGTTGAATTTTTTCTACTGGTATTTAATTTCTTGTTGGATATGAAAATTGTGTGGATGTCAACTGAATATTAAAAATGTGGGAAATGGAAACAGCATGGGGTTATCTAAATTTTATTCAAATTGATAATAATGTTGGAAATTCTAGCTTAAAAATATATACTAATGTTCCAAACGGTGGCTCACATGGTAATAGGGACAAGAAAGGAGCCTCCCTCGATTGCCTACTGGCATTCAGGCGTCCTGCGGGTAAAAGATACCCCCCCCCCCCACAAATCCTTTCACAGAGGCAGCCAGCCACCTCGGTGATCTCTGGCTAACATGTGCCATACGCTAAAAAAGAAATGTTCCAAGCAGTGTGAGTTATAAATTAAAATTCTTTGGATTACGGTAATTCTGAATAGGAATTCCTTCTCTACCTATAGAAAAAACAGTGTAGATATTTGGAGCTTTTGGTTTAAAGCATTATGGTGTGGCTTTGCACATGTTAAATAAACTGTTCTTTCTCTACTGTTAACATTTGTCTGCAATGAAAGACAGTTTTTTATTGCATCCTCAGGCTGCACAGTGATATTTTTGACATACTGTATGTAAATATTTCAGAACTTTCTGGTCTAATAAAAAAGTAATAATAAATCTGCTAAGGTATAGTCATTCGGAGATTTCCTAGAGATTTTGTTTTTTATATGCCAAGCAATTAAATTTTCCCACATCCATATCTAGGGATAGGACCACGTCTAAAGTGTAATTACAACATTTAATCTACAATAAACATCTTTTAGTAACACAAATTGAGAAAAAAATATTTATTCTGCTGACAGATTGATAGGGCTAACATTGATAAAACTTTCCATGTTGAAACAATATTGCATAGTAAAACAAACTTGTTGAAAATATTATATTTGTGACAGAATATATTGTGAAGTTTAAAATGTTAAATCTTATGTATTTTAAGAACAAAATGTTTCCTTAGAAAAAAGAATAAAATATTTGTAATTATTGCAAAGTGTTTATTTTACTAAGGAACTGCGTAGAAATTGAGAATTATATTTCCATGGTATCTCTTTTCTATAGCCATATAATGTTTTAATCATTTTTTTTCTCTTAATGATTTGTATCCTTAACTTCCTATCCTCCAATATTCAATATTGTATAGAATTATATATTTAGAACACCTACATTCAAAGTCAGTATAAAATAAAAACTTCTGTAACACTGCAGCATTTAAACTGTATAATTTATCTTGTGTATTATAAAGTCTTTCACAGTAATGATGTTTGCAAGAGACTTTAAGCAAGCAAAGACCCTTGATTTCAATTTATCAAACTGTCCTTAAATCAAACTATCAAATATCCTATATTTGATTATAGTCACAGACTTCAAATAAACATTTGTGTGATATTACTTTTAATATATTTATATTAAGCTTTCTTTTTGTATTTAAAGCTGTCTTTTGGGGAGATATTGCCTTAGATGTTGAAGACTTAAAAATCTTTCAGATTGACAGGACAGTTGATCTTACACAACATTCAGAGGGAAAAAATGGACATAATACTGGTAAGCTATAAACATTTTTTATTCATTGATACATTCAGAATTTTGTATATATTACACTGTTTTGTCATGTGTATTTCTAACATATTATTGCTTGTGAATACTTCTATGTTTGCAAATAAATATATATTATTCGTTCAGTTAATTAATAAATGTAGCCATTTAGTTAAGCCGCTTATGAAACAGAGATGCCTGTTACTTGGGAGAAAGACTACTGTTCTATTTCATATAATATAAAAACGCAGTGCAGCGACATCATGCTGTACCACAAAGGTACCTATGGCTGTGAAAACTGAATTACTAACATGAAAATAACCTGATCACCTGAGCAACAATCCAGGATAAATAATTGAGAATATCATGGGCTGTCAGAAGAACAAATGATTCAATAGTTAATGAAGCAAAATCAGATTGATTATTGGAAGATGTAATTATTGGAAGATGCAGAATAGTTTTGGCCTTCCGACCAATAATATAATAAGACTTTTATACAATTTTTAATAGAGCCTGAAAATAAATTTATAAAATATAAGGATTGGATCTTCCAGCTGTGTGAGTCTATGATCCTGGATGAGATGAATTTTTTGAACCATTTCCAGTCAGGTTTCAGGCCAAAATGTAGGATGGAAATGGTATTTCCATTTACACTGCCCCAGATGAAGCTATGCTTAATGTGAGGGTTCTCCTGGACTCAAGACTGCTGCTTCAAAAGCATGTGGAGTCATTGTTAGGAGGGTTTTTCCTCAATTTGTGTTGAGGCCAGTTATGCCCTTTCTTGGATCAAGAAAGTGATTGATGCCCTGGTCATTTCCTGGATGGACTACTACAGTGCAGTATATATCAGACTATCCTTGAAGAGTATCTGGAAGCTGCAGTATGGTGCAGTTCCTAGACTTGTGCATGTAATACCTCTGTAATACCTCTGCTGAACTGTATTGGGTGCCAGTTTGCTTCTGGATCCTATTCAAGGTGTTGGTTATTACATTTAAAGTCTTTCATGGCATGGGACCAGCTACTCGTGGAATCATCTCATCCCAATTACTTTGTCCCATCCACCCAATCAGGCGGGGAGGCTATGTTGTGGAAAGAGTTTCGATCAGCGGGATCCAGGAAGAGAGTCTTCTCTACTTCTGCCCCTTATACTTTAAAACATCCAGAGATGAGGTAGACCGCCACACTTCTAGCCTTCCAGAAGAGCATCAATACCAGGTTCTGTCAGTTAATACGGTAGTCTGAGTGATAAGCAACTCTGTGGTAATGGGGTGACTTAAGGGCACTCACCTGCCTCTTAATTTTTAACATCTTCATCTTTACCTCAATTTCTAAACTGTATTTATATACTTTTGTATGTTTTTACTGTAAACCACCCAGGATCACTTAAATCAGATGGGCAGTGTAGACATTTGATAAATAAATAACTAAAATATGGTGAGTAGATATTTTTATACTGCCTTATCATCACTTAATTTTTCTTAAGATTACCTGTTGTTTTAATTAATAGCCTATCTGAGCTCATTTACAGTCTGATTTAAAATATAAAGAGATGCCATCTTCTGTATCAATGAATATTTAGCTTTGCGCCATTTCAGTCTAATTTTGCTGATATTATCGTGAGGTAAGGGAAATAATTATATTTGTTTAGTTTGCATTTCTGCTTTTCATTCAAAGCCATCTTAAAATTATTATATAGTCAATCTGCTATCTTTAGATTAAATTTCCTTCATGTTTTGCACAGGAAATACGTGTGATCACCTCCAGATAAAATATAATGTTTTTCTTTAAGTTACATATCTGACAAATACTGTATGTCATGAGCCTAAATACCAAGGAAAAAGCTTAGAATTTGTATTAATTATTTTAATTCTAAAAAGAAAAAAATATTTTTCATAAATGAAAACAAGATGGCATAGCAATATAATACAATTTGCAATTAATATAATATTATTTAAATTGCATCCTTGTATCAACTTCCTTGAAGAAAGACCATTTCACTTAAAACATTACTTCCTAAATGAAACATTACTTTGAAAGATTGTTGCGTCACTGGGCAGTAAATGTTTGCATTCTGGGAAGTTGACAAAATAGCTCAAAGAGTAGGAATGTCTTAACATGTTACCTCATTCTTCTAAAATCTAAGAGAAAAATTCAAAGCATTTTTCTCAAGGCTTGCTACAGCTATGTGACAGTGGAAGGCATGAGGTAAATTACTCAGCAATGACACAACACATTTGCCTTATATGGCGCTGTGCATTTTGTTGTAACCCTTTAAACACGTAATTTAGAAGATTACATGAAGAATACATGTTGAAAAAAACCTGAGGAATTACTGAAATAGCTAACCTATGTTTCATTGATTTCAGTGGTTCTCACTTTTGAATGGGCATGTAAATGAACAGTCTTTTTATGCGTTACTTAGGCTACAAGTGTAGTGACTAAACATTCACGCATAATCTTTTTACTAATGGTGTTTCCTTAATCATACAGTGTTAACAAAATTAACCTTCTTAGTTGCTTATATTATTAACTTGTTCAGTATTACTGTCACAAACATCACAGTAGATAAGCAAGCAGAATACAGTATTTCTTGGTAGCCTACAAATGGGATAAATTGTCTCTGTCTCTGTAAGTAGCTTTCAAAGCACCTCATTCAAATTGTGGCACTGGAGTTTCTACTGTTACGTGATTTATTACAGCTGAAAATAGTTTAGATGTGAATAGTTTCAAAGGCATGTCAATCAAATAAACTGCCTTACATTCTTTAAAAAGGTTTTAAGTCAGTGGATTTGTATAGCTGTAGAGAATATACAGAGTTAAAAGGAGGGGTCCTTGGTGCTGTCTGAGCTTGCTTGTTTTCTTGCAGTCGTTTTCATTACCCAAACTATGTAATATCATCAGTGCTAGTCAAGTAGGAAGGGATCCTAGAGGTCTTCTAGTCCAACCCCCTGCCCAAGCAGGAGACCCTATATCATTCTGGACAAATGATTGTCCAATTTCTTCTTAAAAACCTCCGGTGCTGGAGAACTCGCAACTTCTGAATTACTAATTAATTGTTTTCGCTATCAGGAATGTTTTCCTTAGTTCTAGATTGGATCTTTCTTTGATAAGTTTCCATCTTGGCTTTTCTTTGTGGCAGCCTCTCAAATATGACTAAGCACATAGACTGCATTTTTAAAATAAAACCATAATTTATCATTCATAGTCAAAATCACTATGGTAGGGAGGAAGATGTTATAATAATTCAATAATGTTAACATTTAAAATATTCCATACTTTTTCTCTACTTTTTGTAAATGCATTTGCTAAATGTATGCATGCAATTTTTCATTTACTTTTCTTTTAAAAGGTGGCTTTGAAGGACGTGAAGTGTCAAAAAAAAACAATGTTCTCTATCAGCTTATAGACAGGATAAGAAGAATTGAGTCAGGTATGGGCAAGCTGCTTAAATTTGGTTCATTGTTGCATGCAATATAAGACATTCCATACCTTTCTTGGTCAAGTATCTGAGTATCCATGAGAGTAAGTAGATAAGCGAATTGTGAATGCCAATAATGAAAGATTTTAGAGATATTCTAAATCCAGTTTATGCAAGTGTCTAATATATGTGTATCAGTGGTGGGTTGCCCCCGGTTTGCACCAGTTCTATAGAACCGGTAGTAAAACCGGCGGGAAGCTCCACCCACTGACCCCGACATCATCAGAATGCTTCTGCCCCGTTTCAGACCGGTAGTAAAGGTAAGTAGAACCCACCCCTGACGTGTATGCTATCTGTGATCAAATTAAATTGAAATTTTAAAAAACTATAATACATCCATATTCTAAACATCTCAGTTGCTATTAAGTAGAGGTAGAGTATGTTTTGCAGTATATTTTTATCATAGCATAAAGAGACCTGTTTTGCTCCCAGGTATTTTACCTAATCAATTTTTTCTCCTTATTTTGCCAACCCTAATGTTCATCAATTTTAACAAAGTTTTCGTTACAAATAACACTGATTTTTGACTTAATTTTTCCTAAATGTATTCTAACATTTATGTATGCTTCTCGTGAAAGTTGATGCATTGCAGTTGACTATATTTATACTGCTTTTCATGCCATTCATAAGTTTAGATTTTGCCTTTTGCAATAGCTTATTTAAATAAGTCCATAGTGGATGTATTTGATAAACCTTAATAAACATAGCTATGGAATTTGTCCTGAGTCCAATTTGTCCAGTTTCTAGAAAAGTTTCTTCTGCATATCAACTTTAATTCAGTTCAATAAAGAAATATAATTCAAAACAATGCGAAGTGTTTCTTGGCTTGGGAAGTTCACATACATTTGAATTACAAAACCTTTTAAAGTAGCTTTTTAAAAATATCATTTTCATTTATCTTGCTTCACATTAAACATCTGAAAAGAAATTCTGCATACGAATAAAATAACTATTAGAGTTTTAGAGATATTCACTACAAAAATTATTATTCTTTAACTAAAAAAATAACTTCCTAGGTACAGAAATATTGGTATGATTCATTGGCACATTATTTAAATAAGTGTTAAGGAAAAAAGCAGGAGGAGGAGATATTTACAGTACCAAGAGTGAATCAGCATAGCAGGGCTGACAGGAGGACAGAAATATTCTAAATACTGAGTTTATGATAAATAGTTCCTTAGCATTGAGCCACAGTCATTAATGTTCCTATATATTTCTTAAATCATATATATTCAACATAATGCAAAGCTTGACTGTATATGAGAGGAAAAAAGTTCATTTATCTGAAGAAAATATTAGCACAATATTATGAATGGTATTTTACAACATAAATGTCATTGCAGGTTTTGAACAAAATAATAAAACAAAGGGAAGACCAACTTTAACATTCTCAGGGAACAATGAGAGAAAAAGATTTTCCCGGGCAGCTACATCGCGCACAGAAAGAATATGGCCAGGAGGTGTTATTCCATATGTCATAGCAGGAAATTTCACTGGTAAGGCAGACCAAGGCACATATTTATCAGACCCATGAACTAAGCCTTCCCAAATAGAAAAATATATATTTAGCATTTCAACTGGAGATGTCTTGAAGACAATTCCTTCTTTTATAATTTTATTCTATTATATGAAATGGCAATTATTCTTAATGTATTTAATAATACAAAATTTTAAATTATTTGCATATTCTGGAATCTGAACGATACAGTTGTATTTCTGTGCATTATGACCCACCCTAAATTATATAATAAGTAATAGTAGTTATTATAAAGCTATGGAAAAGTGGTCATCAACAAATTTAACCAACTTTGCTTTTAGAGTAATGTAACATTTTATATTTTCTATTGGTATTAAATCAGTTTTTCCCCCGGACTTAATTTCCCAGATGTTATTGCATTATAAACTAATATTCTTGCCTGCTGTTGTTGCTGACTGATTGAATAATGGTTACAGTAATTCAACAACTTCTAGCAAAAGTTGGAAAATGCTGGTGTTAATATTGGGATGCCAAATCTTCTCCTTTATTTATTTAAGCAACATTATTATGCAATCCATTAACTAATAATGAATACATGTGCATTTCAAGGTTCTAATTCTAATTCTATAAATGGGATATACACATCGACAAAAGATGCACACTGTCTTTAGCAATACAGTAGCAGAGAATGCAGCTTGTAGTGTGGTGTGATTAAAATGGGTAACTTAATCTGTAATCTTTTTTTAACTTACTAACAACCGTCAAATAAATTCTTCAATTCACTAAAGACAGGATGGGCAGCAAAAGGTTCTATGGGCCTAACTTTTCATGACCAAGGTATCTGTCTATCTGTGTCTGTCTATATGTCTATATCTATACCTATATCATCTATATTTATTTATTTATTTATTTATTTATTTATTTATTTATTTATTTATTATTTATTATTTGTATTTCTATGCCACCCACTCTCCGAGGACTCTGGGCGGCTTACACCAAAGACAGTATACTAAATAGCATATTGCCCCCAGCAATCTGCGTCCTCATTTTACCCACTTCGGAAGGATGGAAGGCTGAGTCAACCTTGAGCCGGTGAGATTTGATCCGCTGATCTGCTGAACTAGCAGTCAGTTGAAGTAGCTGCAGTATTGCACTCTAACCACTGCGCCACCTCGGCTCTTCAATTTATAACTATCTGTATACACACACATATACATATAAACACACCTTAAAAAGCCAACAAAAAAGATGTAATAAATATGAATAAAGGTAGAATAGAATAGAGTAGAGTAGAGTAGAGTAGAGTAGAGTAGAGTAGAACAGAACAGAACAGAACAGAACAGAACAGAACAGGAAGGGACCTTGGAGGTCTTCTAGTCCAACCCCCTGCTCAAGCAGGAGAACCTATACCACTTCAGACAAGTGACTGTCCAGTCTCTTCTTAATAATCTTTGTACTTTGATACTGTCCAGGAGAATTGATGAATATTATTAAAAATGATATAGGTTTCGTTGGATAGGCAAATGCAAGTGTGTCTGTGTGTGTTTGTGTGTGTTAGAAGAAGAGATAGGGTTTAAAAAGGGTGTTGAATGAATATGTGTGGAATATAGAAGGGAATGCCCATGTGAAAGAAGTACTACATTGAAATAATTTGGTTGTATAGTGAGAACAAATGAGGATTAACTCATGAAACAAATATAAGAAAGGGTTGAGAGAAAAAGGAAGGGTGAAAAAAGTAAAGTTGATGAGGTCCTCAAAATGAGGGAGGTGAGAAATCTAAAGAACAGATAAGTATGGTATTTGAAGCTTTGTATGGATCACAGAGGCAAGGACTCTGTAAGGGTAAATGGCATGGAGAGCTATAATGAATGATGTTGATGTAAAAACACCATCAGATTTAACTATAATTCCTTTTCTTATCTCAAGTCTTAATTGGTTTACTCCTTTTTTGCTCCTTATATAACATTGCATACTCCGAAAGAGAATAGTGTGAAGAGAACGTATGCAAGTGTGTATGTGCACAAACAGTTTTTCCTTAGGGATGACAGTAAACATATCAATCACTGAATAATCGTTTATTCAAAAGCAACCCAATTGCCTTCCACTGTGTTGCCCATTATTTAATTAAATTATTTCCCATTTTGTGCATAGTTTAATGCTCTGGCATTTGCAACAATATGCTGTTTATTATCTTGCATATGCATAAAAGAACATTATTTCCATGTTATTAACAGCTGTTGGACAAATAGCATAGCAGTAAAAATGAACTGTATTTCATGCACCAATGATAATTCACTAAGACAAACTAATTAAGCATGTTGTTGTACAAGGTTTGGCTGATGGCTATGTGTCCAGCTTGATGGCCACAAGTTTTGTGAAGTGTCAGTCTGACAGTTGATATATTTCTTTCTAACCATGGGTAATTAAAAGTCCTTAGGTTAACATGTTTAACATATGCAATTTGTTTATGTATTTCTGCAGAGTAAATCTTTTTCTGGAAAAAGATTCTTGCTTTGTAAGATTTCACCAGTTGCTACCCAGCTCTTCCAACCTACTTTCAGAATTCTGTTGTCTTTAAAACCTTCCTCCTCTCATTTGTTTCAAAATTGAAAATTTAACTTTACTATTGTTGGGGTGATATGTTTAATTTTGTTTGTTAATTTAAGTTTGTTTGTTCTGAAATTTTTGATTTTGTTACAAATTTTGATTTCAGGAAGCCAACGAGCAATGTTCAAGCAAGCAATGCGACACTGGGAAAAATATACCTGCGTTACATTCATTGAACGAAGTGATGAAGAAAGCTACATAGTGTTTACATACCGGCCTTGTGGGTAGGTTGATATAAAAGATATGGATTCTAATGAATTGTGAGCCACACTAAGGCAGGGGTGGGCAAATGTGGCCCTTTTACAACCTGTGGACTTCAACCTGTGGACAGCTTGGCTGTCTCAGGAATTCTGGGAGTTGAAGTCCACAGGTTGTAAAAGGGCCACATTTGCCCACCCCTGCACTAGGGGAACCAGACCAAAAAAATCAACTCCATAGAAGACTAGAACTACATTGTGTAGTTATACACATAGTGTGGTTGTGTAGAGGCTATGATCAGAGAAACTTCCAAGTCACAAAACCCACAGCTTATATATTTGTGTCAGGTTGTGGAATGCAAAAAAGATATGGATAAGATTTATGTTCTAACTATGTTTTCGCTTTGATGTACTGTTATTGTTAATATTCAGATCTGTTTTAAGCATTATTATATATTTGTATAATGATGAGAGCACCAGCAACTTCTGAATTCCTGTCAGCTTCCCAACTGCACAGCCTTGTGGGAAGCTGACAGTGAGCATCAGAAATCCTTCCTTCCTTCCTTCCTTCCTTCCTTCCTTCCTTCCTTCCTTCCTTCCTTCCTTCCTTCTGAATAAAGAGGAAAAAATATATAAAAAAGAGAAAAACAATTAAATTACAAAAAGAAAAATTATATATATATAAGGGCTTCTCAGGCATAGATAACTTATCTGATGGTGAATGGGGAGGCTGAGTTATGTGTGTGAATTTTCAACATAACAGTTTCAATTTAATATAAACCATATTCCACTGTATATATGCGTATATACTGTTTTTGTATACAGTACAATGTATTAAATTTTTTACACAGAACATAAAAATTAATACAAATTAATAAAAAGAAAAGGGGTTCAAAGAAAGAAAGAAGATAAGATGAAAAGTGAAAGAAAGAAAGAATAAAAAGAAATACAAAAAGCTTCCATTTCCTTTTGAGCAAATATAATTACCAAATTATCTCTTACTCTATGATTACAAAAAGAAAAGCTCACTTTTTTCTATTATCCAATTTTTCTAATTATTAAGGGCATAAGTTATAAGTGCTTTTTTTTTCATTTCATAGAAAAAGTCTGTCAGGGGCTTCCACTCAGCCATGAATGTAGATACTGTTTTTTTCTCTGATCAAAGAAATTAATTTAGTCATTTTTGCAAGTTTCATCATTTTCACTAACCATTCTTCCATTGTGGGTAGTGTCGAATCTTCCCAAATTGTATCCTTTTATTATAATCAAACATGGATTGTTGTCAAATAACTTTTGCAAATTGTAATCTGAAAGGCCATGAAAGGAGGGTTACCTGAGTATTCAATCTACTGTTCTGTAGAGAACTGAAATGCCCAGGCAGGGAGCAGATGGAAATAGCGGGACAGACAGATGGGAAGAAGAGATTATATCTACTAAGGACTTAGAATGATTAACTTAAAAATGATTTTCCCAAAATGTGATGCTTATTAAAATGTTTCTATTGTGATTTTATTTAGTGTGACCTACATGTCCTAAACAAACAGTGGATTTCTGAAATAGGTCAAAAGCTTCTAATTTTCAGAGTGTTTAATTCTCATATGTAAAGTAGCATACAACCTACATTATACAGTGAACTCTGTTTCAATAGTTTTATGGCTGTAGCCAGTGGTGGGATTCAAGTAATTTAACAACTGGTTCTCTGCCCTAATGACCGGCTGGATAGGCGTGTCTGGGTGGTCATGTGTCTGGGTGGGCGCGGCCAATTTGACATCAGTCACGTTGAGGGGCACCTGGTCTTGCCCAGCCTCTCCTCACCATGTCTGGCCATACCTCACTCCTCTCCTCCCAGCCACTCCTTGTCACGCCCAGATACTGGCCCTGCCTCCCAGCTGGGCAGGCAGCTGGGGGCCGGGTGAGCAGCCAGACAGCAAGGCAAGGAGCGGCTGGGAGAGGAAGGGCAAGGTGGGACCAGGCGTGGGGAGGCATGGTATTCAGCCAGTTTGCCGAACTGCAGAAAAATTTAGCTACCGGTTCTACTGAACCCGTGTGAACTGGCTGAATCTCACCATTGGCTGTAGCCCCAAGCCTATAGTCTAATAACAAACTCAGTTTCTTAATATGGATTATTATGGAAGCAAAATATATCATCTTTACACAAGAGGAAGGTTTACCAGACTTGGAAGCATTTGCAGAAAAAACAAGAATAGAACATTTTGAAAGAGAACACGATAATCTAAGTAGAATCCTCAGAGATCTTCAATATCTCTCATTGCGATATTCTGTTCTAAATCCTACATGTCAGTATAATTTCCAGTTTGAAGAACTCTTGAAAATGTTTATGACATATACAGTATATATGCCTGGATATTTGCTTTCATCCTTTAATTTTATTGTTGAAGAGCTTCAGATCAAAAGACAATAGGCAACGTGAACTTGGAATGTACACATCAGCATTACCACTGCAGTCGTCTTCTACCCCTTAAAAACATTGAAAGTTATTTAAAAAGCACTCATCGGGAACTGTGAAAAGGCAATAGCGAATAAGGAATATAAATGTCAACTTCATATGAGGTTGCAGTTTTGACCTAGAATATCACAGTACATTTTATTCAATTTTACTTGACTTCTCTGTGGTAAATAAAAGCTTCTGTGTCATTAGCCAAAATTGTGTAGGCTTTTATGACTTTTTAAGAGATTAAAAGTGACACACGATATTTATGTTTACTACCTTCTTCCTGCCCCCCCCCCAGCTCCACTTCTTGAAGAGGAATTTCAACTCTGAAAGGATTCATGTTTCTTATTTCAAAACCATATCCCCATTAGAATCTTCCACCTATGACAGGGACAGTTGATTTGAAAAGTAACTACCAGCACCCAGTCATATATCTTTAACATGTGAGCTAGTGTTTTTTGGGGGGCATATGCTGTTTTAGTTACAGGATCAGGTTGCAATTGATCGTATGTCGTTCATTTCGTTTTCATTTATATTTACTTATTTCATTTATATTTACTTATTTCTAGTATATACAACATATGAAAGCACCTGGATACATGCATCTAAGAAAATATAATATTATAATCTACCATATTTATATAATATATTTATATTTATTTGTATCTAGTATATATAATATGCATATTATGTAATAAATATATTTAATAAAACAGTTTATTAAAACAAATCCTACAATAAAATGTGAAATAAAAAAGCTAAATAAAGATCTCGGCTCCTTCTTGGAAGTGTACATTCAGATTATTTCACTTCTTTTCTTACTCTAAATTACAGATGCTGCTCCTATGTAGGCCGAAGAGGCAATGGTCCTCAAGCAATCTCTATTGGCAAGAATTGTGATAAGTTTGGAATTGTTGTTCATGAATTGGGACATGTAATAGGATTTTGGCATGAGCACACAAGACCAGACAGAGATGATCATGTCACCATCATCAGAGAGAACATTCAACCAGGTGAGACAATTCTAGGATGGTATCCCAGATATTTTAGGCTAATGTCATAGATTAAAGCTGCCATCAGGATTGAGCTTTTGAGAATTGTAATTCTGCAACATCTAGAACAGGGGTGTCAAACTCAATTTCATTGAGGGCTACATCAGGGCTATGGTTGACCTTGGGGGGCCGGGTGGGCGTGGCTGACCAGGTGGGTGTGGCCAACTCGGTGTGCGTGGCCGGCTTGACACCACTCCCCAAACTGCTGGCATGTTTCCTCTACACACTGTGTAGACCGGGCTGAAGCTACATTGGCCTGATCTTTCTTCTTCGCACTGGGTAGACTGGGCCGAAGCTATCTTGGCCTGATCTTTCCTCTTTTGGGTAGACCAGGATGGCCCCGCAGGCCAGATCTGACCACATTGTGGGCTGGATACGGCCTGCAGGCCTTTGGCCCCCCTGATCTAGAAGGTACCTGATGTGCCATGTGAGAATGGAGCATCTAATTATTGGTCTAATATTTTGGTAACTAAAAATTTGTCTGTTAATTTTTGTAAGACATTGCTTTGGATATAAACATTAAATCTTGTAGATTAAATTTTTAATTCTCCTAATGAAATGGGTATTTTTTTAATTGACTCCCAACTTCCTTACTTGCTTCACTTCATATAAATGGTTGTTTAGTTCAGAAGTCCCCAACCCCTGGTCCTTGGACCAGTACCGGTCACAGCATGCCAGAAACTGGTCCTCACAAACAAGCAAAGCCCCATTCACAGGATGCAGGCAGTACACAAAATCACGCCCCCTCTGGTTCATGGAAGAAACTTTCTCCATGGAACTAGTCCTTGGTGCCCACAAGGTTGGGGGCCACTGGTTTGGTTGGTTGATATTGTTCTGTTTATTACTGAATTATAAGACATGAATATTGGATCTCCAAGATATTGTATTTTTATTGTGGCTGTAATTATTTTAATTATTTGGATTGTTAAGGGTTTTTTTGTGATTGGGTTATTTATTGCTACCTGCCCAGAGACCTAGTAGTGGGCATAAAAATTGTTTATGTAAATAAATGAAGAAGGTTACCTCCAAGGATGGAGTACTGCAGATGGAAAAAAGGAAGGAAAAAATCTTTAGATGGGGACAATTATTGAAGGAATTATAGAAATAAATGTACATAATGATAATCTCCAATAAAGATTAAAGCAATCTTTAATAGTCAGATCTATAGAAAAGATAAAATCTTCTTTTATCAATCAAACCTGACTCCTGTTGACTTCATTAACACATCCATATAGTTTCTGAGAACAGTTATACAGTAGTTTGTCAGTATCACCTTCAGGGATATCCTTTCCCCCCAAATCAAGCCTGTAGACCTGAAGTTTTCTGGTGGGCTGGCCATCTAAGTACTAACCAGATTTGCTCTTGCTTGGCTTTTTGAGATCAACCACGTTCAACTAGGTACTGCTCCTTCTAATGCCTGGGCTATATTGTATTGTTAATTAATAATATGTACTATAAAATTGCAACCAATGTCTTTATGTTTCCACAATGCATTGTAGAAAATAAGAAAGTAAGCGTGGAATAATCAAGTCAGAGGGTGACAGGAAATAATAGTTTTCTTAATATGCTGCATACCAAGATGACATTTCAGACTATTATTCCATCAGTAATTCAGTTCATGAGCCAACAGGTACATTGTTATTGCTGTTTAAAGGGAAAAAAATAGAAAGCTGCTTTTACCTGTGCACATATATCACAATCAATTAATTCTGTGTTAGCCTTTGCAAGCAAACTCTTTGTATCTACCCATAATATATTATAATTTGCCTATGAAAAGGAGTTATGGATTTTTCCCCTTCCTTCCTTTTGAAAAATGTTTGAAATCTTCTGAATTATAGGACAGGAGTACAACTTTTTGAAGATGGAGCCTGGAGAAGTGAATTCTCTGGGAGAATCGTATGATTTTGATAGCATTATGCACTATGCCAGGAACACGTTCTCAAGGTTGGAGTCTCAGGTTATACCTTTTGTCTTATAATTCTCTTCTTCAATGTGAATATTCTGTGTATGTTGTTCTGATGTAGGCAATTGTCAGAATTGCTTTTTGTTGTTGCACCTTTTTGATAGATGCCCAAATGTATTTTGTGGCTTTATTGAAGAGTTCATAGTATTTTTTTTTAAAATGATTTTTTAAGGGATGTTTCTTAAACTGTGCAGTTTTGTGTCAGATTCTTTCCAAATACTGTTCTGGAAAACTTGCCCATTCTGAGAAATGATAGAGGAATGCTCTGTGTTTACATTTTTAGCTTATAGACATGGCTTTCAGGACCATTTGAACCTAACAAACCAAAGAATGGTTTCCTAGAATGCTAGGGGAAAAAAAAGGCTTTAAAAACCATCCTTAATATCTTTAAAAACTATTCTATAGAAAAAATAATCCCTTTGCCGATAATAGAAACACTCTATAATGCTCCAGCTATTATATGATTAAAAACTTGTAGTTTGAAGATAATATATCTTTTTAATCATGAAGGACAAATAATTTGTTCATTTAAAATTAATTATTTTGAAAATAATGTGTATAATTACAAAATGAATCAGTCCAGTCCTTTTTAATGCAGGCATATCTTTTGCATACAATTATATTAAATTTATTTATTTATTTTCTGAATAGAGACATGCTTTTGGTTTCTTCTATCCCTTGGATAGCCTCTTGCATATTGATTGGTTTTAATATTATTAACATTTTACAATAATTAGTTTGTTCCAATTTGAAACACTGCCTCTTTTGATTAAGGATCCGAAAGCCTTTTCTGATTATGTCCCTAAGGTTTGCTATTATTTTAAATAAATATTTTAAGTATTCTTGTCACTGTATTGAAAATTTCAACAGAACAATGCATTAATCTCACACACATCAAAAGCTGTGAAAATTATTGTGTGCACAATATATACTGAGGTTTTGAAAAAGCAAATGAAGACCTTTGGTGCAGCTTTTAATGAACTAATTAGCAATACGAGAACCAATAATTGTATTGTGGATTTTTTTTTTGTTCGTAATATTCTGTTGAAATAAGTATAATTAAAATAATTGGTCAAGATTAAGATGATGTGCTTTTAGAACAAGGCCTTTAGCAGAACAGTTTCTTCACCTATTGTGTGAATGTCAGGAACAAGCCAGACTAATCAAATAACCATGTTATTATAATTGTTGACTTTTCCATTTCACTGGCTGCTTTTTGTTACTAAGGATATCTTGAATAAATTCAAAACTCTTGATATGAAAAATAAGTTGGGGTTTTTTTTCTTGGCTTCTTAATTATTTTTAGGGGTATGTTTCTGGATACCATACTTCCTTCCCGTGATGATAATGGGATCCGACCGGCCATTGGTCAACGCACACGATTAAGTAAAGGAGATATTGCACAAGCCAGAAAGCTGTACAGATGTCCAGGTATTGAATCGTAGAGAATAAGCATGAAGAAGCATATTCTAATATAATCAATGAGGTCTAACTATAATTCTGAATAAGGTGTTTTCTTATCTGCTTCTATTCAGGCAGTTACTTAAGGTGAGATCATAAACATTCTTAAGGCATTAAGGGATCAGTGGCTTGAATCTGAGTTTACCATCTCAAGAGGCAGTTCTGTGCTTTCCTAATGTAGCTGTTCACTTGCTGGAGATGACAGTGGGAAAAAAAACATGATTCATTCTATCATTTCTTATTTAAGGTAGTGTACTTTAAATCCAGATCTATATTTAGACTGATGATGCATTTGTTTAGCATACTTCAACAGGGAAATCTAGTTGCTCTGCAGAACAGTAGTCCTAGGGTTTTTTTTTAAAAAAAGATGTAATGAGTCATAAAATAAGTGCAACATTTGATCAAGAAATCTAGTTGTAGAAAGCCATGAAACTTGATTCTTTGGCTTTTACAGAAAAATTGGTTCATGTGGACCTAAAATCTCAATAAATTCCTTCTTAACTGCACTTCCTTTCTGAGTCGGGATTCCTTATGCACAGTCACTCATACTCTCGTCACTTCTCGCCTGGACTACGCTAACGCTCTCTACATGGGGCTCCCCTTGAGGAGCACCCGGAGGCTCCAACTGGTCCAGAATGCGGCCGCGCGGGTGATCACAGGAGCGACATGGCGCTCCCATATAACACCTCTCCTGCGCGAGCTGCACTGGCTCCCGGTGGTCTTCCGGGTGCACTTCAAGGTGTTGGTTCTCACCTTTAAAGCACTCCATGGCTTAGGGCCAGGGTATTTACGAGACCGCCTGCTGCTACCAATAACCTCCCACCGGCCAATATGCTCTCACAGAGAGGGCCTCCTCAGGGTGCCGTCGGTCAAGCAATGTCGGCTGGCGGCCCCCAGGGGGAGGGCCTTCTCTATGGGAGCACCTGCCCTCTGGAACAAGCTACCTCCCAGAATACGGCTGATTCCGGATCTCCGCACTTTCCGTAAGGCCCTGAAGACATTTTTATTTCAGCAAGCCGGCCTGGCCTGAATAGGTTTTAAGGTTTTTTTAATTGTATTGCTAGGGGTTTTAAATTGGGGTGGCCGTTTAATTTAACTTATTCTTAATTATTTTAACTTTTATATTGCATGTTATTTTAATTCTCGGCTGTTCACCGCCCTGAGTCCCTTCGGGGAGAAGGGCGGGATATAAATTTAAAAATAAAAATAAAAAATAAAAAAAACTTCCTGAGCTATGTAATTGATCAGAATTCCTCCATGTTTCAATTTCTTTTCTCACCTATGAAGTCCTATCTGATAGTACAAGGAACTACTTATGTGATACTTATTTTGACATGGAGCTTTTTTTTAAAATAGTTAGGGAGGGACATTAAAAAAGCTGTTCCCTCTTCCCAAGACATGCAGTGTATGTTTGTATGTATGTCCATCTATGTGTCTCCCCAATAACTTCCACTGATTTTAGCTTTTGCATATTATTCTAAATGCTTCACAAGCTGTATTTTGATGCAATTATGTCAAAACCAGAGAAGATGCTGGAAAAATTGCATACGGAAGGCATAATAGAACATCCAATTCCTGTTCAGGTAATACATGTTATTAAGGAATACACACACATGTATAAAACCGATAAACTATTTCAGTTTATAACCCTACCACAAAATAAACAATTCAGCTTAATAATTATTGTATTTAATTGGGTTTAGTTGATAATATAAGTTTTCAACATAATTGCATCTATTTTTAAGGATTTAAAATTATGCTCTTTCTAATACTAGGTAGATATATTAATAATTATTCACCATGTAATTTTATTATTAGTTTTTTGCTTATTTGCATTCACAATATTTTAAATGTACCAAAAGCTAGGGCTTCATAGACTCTACAATTAATAATAATAATAATAATAATAATAATAATAATAATAATAATAATAATTTTATTTCTATACTGCCCTTCTCCCGAAGGACTCAGGGCGATGTACAGCCTATTAAAAACACAAAAATATACAGATATCAATTAAAAATAATTAAAATTATTAAATAATTTTGGCCCAAGTTAAAACCCAAAAATTTAAAACACCCAATTTAAAATCATTTACATTGATAGCCCGGCCTGGCGGAACAGCAGGATCTTGAGGGCACAGCGAAATATACGGAGGTCAGAGATCTTGCGCAATTCCAGGGGCAGTTCATTCCACAGGGCAGGCGCTCCCACAGAGAAGGCCCTCCCCCTGGGTGTCGCCAGCCGACATACTGTACCTTGGCCGATGGCACCCTGAGGAGACCTTCTCTGTGGGAGCGGACTGGCCGGTGGGAGGCTACTGGTGGCAGAAGTCGGGTCCTAAGCCATGGAGCGCTTTAAAGGTGGTGACCAACACCTTGAATCGCACCCGGAAGACCACTGGGAGCCAGTGCAGCTCACGCAGGAGAGGTGTCACGTGGGCACAACGAGTCGCGCCCATTACCACCCGTGCAGCCACATTCTGGACCAGTTGTTTAAAGACCAATACTTTTTATCTTTTTGCACATGAAAGAGATGGTGGAGGGATGAGAAACATGTAGGCTTGAAATTTACAGAAATTTCTTCATTCATAAGGGGAAAAAAACCTAGCAGTTTCTATAATATCCAAACTAAGCATATAAATCTTTTATTGTTTAAAGTGTTCATAACTTAAAGTAGTTGTGTTAGAAAATGAAATTGAATGGGTTAGGAATAAACTAATCCTCCATCTCAATCATACATAAACAAGATGCTCATTCATATCACATTAAAAGATCTTTAATAATTTCATAATTGAGATTTGGGGAATAACCATAATTCTACACGAGAGCATATGTGAAACTATATATAAAGAGATGACTTTCATACTACATTCTACAATTGATTTGCTGTGTCGCTTTAATATCCTACTTCTTCCGACACTGTATGTATAGAAGTCCTCAATTTACAACCACAATTAAGGCCAAAATTTCCATTGCTAAGCGAGACTGTTGTTAGGTGAATTTTGCCCCATTTTACAATCTTTCTTGCCACCGTTGTTAGTGAATCACTGCAGTTGTTAAGTTAGTAACATGGCTGTAATGTGAACCTGGCTTCCCCATTGACTTTGCTTATCAGAAAGTCGCAAAAGATGATTACATGACTTTGGGGGTCACTGCAGCCGTCATAAATATGAACCAGTTGCCAAATATCCAAATTCTGATCATGTGACCATGGGGATGCTGCAACAGCCATAAGTGGGGAAAGTGGTTATAAGTCACTTTTTTCAGTGTCATTGTAACTTCAAACGGTCACTGAATGAAGAGTTGTAAGTGGAGGACTAGCCTGTTTTGGACTTCCAAATTATTACACCTCATACTAAAAAAAAAAAAAACCTGAGGAAAAATAACATTTTAAATCTGTACTGCAGGTGAGCATTTCAGACTGGCCACTTCATATTGCAAGTAACCCACAGATTAGTTTTATTGACACTGCTGGTTGTCTTTTCAATGGTTTTATTGTTTGTTATTCTGCTGGTTTTGTTTGTCGCTAAGAAGTTTTTCAGACTAGAAACAAAGTTCAATACAGCTTTAATTCTACAGCAACCAACATCCGGAAACCCAAGATACCAAACCTCTGCAGTTTAGTGGAATTATAATGATTGCAGAGTTAAAAATAAACTGTTGATAATTAGCTATGGTATTTACTTTGAAAATGTCTAGTGCTGAATAAATTATTTAATATGCAACTCATATTTGATTAGGATGTCATGTGATGCAGGCTTGGTGTATAGAGTGAAAGGGAAAATATTTTAGGGTAAGCCAATTGATTCTTTTTCTCCAGATATGGAAAGATGTTACTCTGCGCTATTAGACATTGTCACATGGCATTACACATACTTTCCTTGCATGTTTAGAATGAACTTTAAAATTGTTACAGTCGTACATTATATATTACTATATTATATATGTGTGTGTGTGAATGATATTATATATATTTTTTGCTGTGCTATCATGTTTAAATTTACTGTGTTCCCCCAAAAATAAGACCGGGACTTATATTAATTTTTGCTCCAAAAGACGCATTAGGGCTTATTTTCTAGTTAGGTCTTATTTTGGGGAAAATATGGTACTAAATGCACCCGTCTGGCTGACAATCTTAACTGGGGCTTATTTTGGGGGTAGGGCTTATATTACAAGCATCTTGAAAAATCATGCTATGACTTATTTTCCTGTTGGGTCTTATTTTTGGGGAAACAGGATAGGTAAGACTAAATATAACATTAGCAAGAGAGCAATATCAGCAGCCTATCTTAATCCAATTGATGATCTTTTTTGAGTTAACATCTAAAGGCTTTGAAAATACCTTAATTTGCTTTTAATTATTCCTGTGACTGGCCTACTGCGCTGAGATAAGGAAATGCAGGTCTCAAATATGAGATGTCCAGAAGACATTCAGATCTACAGAAAAAGCCACTTGTTGATTGAAGCTCATAAAGATAATTAAGACATTGTGTAGTAGCAGAAGTGTCTGCAGGGTATGATAAAAAAGGAAAGGATGTGATTGAAGCTCCACCAATGTGTTGCACACCCTGTGACATTCCTGTATCGGAGCATGGAATGGATGTTGCAAAGTGTTGATACATTCCTCATTTCCTACTCAAGCTCAGCACAAGGTCCAAGAAATACAACAGCTTTAGATCTGGAAACTTATCAAAGAGAGATCCAACTGTGAACTAAGGATAAATTTTCTGAAGGCAATGACAATAAATCAGTGGAACTGCTTGCTTCCAGAAGTTGTGGAGGTTGTGGAGATTTTTAAGGAAAGATTGGACAGCCATTTGTCCAAAATTGTATAGGGTCTCCTGTTTAACTAGAAGATTGGACTAGAATACCTCCAAAGTCCTTTTCAACATGGTTATTCTGTTGTTACTATTACTGTTATGTCAATTGGGGTAGGGTAAGAATAAAATTTTTAAAAATTGCATCACAACAGAAAAATCAATATATTCATGCAGATCTGCTGAAACAAAATACCATCAGAGATTAGTAAAATAGGAAATAATGTAGCAATAACTAATTGTCAATATAGCAGTTAAATGAAAGAAGTAACGCCAAACATTATATCATTACTAGGACTCTCCTATCTAAGTAGTGGTTCCAAAACAGACTGATGCGTAGCCCAGGTAAGGGGGAGGGAAAGCGTGCGGCACCATAAGTCTTGTGGGGAGTGTGGGAAGGAATTTGTCTCAGCTTGATGTTAAAAGATACAAATGAAAATAGGTGAGAGTGTGGCACAAACAACAACCTGTCACCAGCAAGGTGGAAGGGTGCATAATGACTATTGCTGGGGAAAGAGGAAAGGACAATCGCTGACTTCTTCAGCTTTCAACTTAATTTTAGAAATTAAGGTGACAGAAATGTTGGTCCCTGCAATCTGAAATTTCTGCTATCATATCATATCAGCTGCAGGTTAAACATCTACAGCAGGAGTGTCAAACTCACGTTGTCACAGCGTCACGTGACATATTGGACCTTCCCCCCCCTTTGCTAAACCGGGCGGGGACGGTGCCAGCACGTGATGCATCCGGCCGTGAGCTGCAAGTTTGACACCCCTGATCTACAGTGTTAGATCTGTTTGTTGAGATTTTGCTCTGAGTGTTGTACTAACTTTACTTTAATCATCTTGGTTTACCAAATCATCTTTACTGGATTCTGGAAGGGGGGTTTATGGCCTTGCTGGTGCTTCTGGATCTGTTTCACATGCCCAACCAGCATGATTCCCAAACATGTTTAATCTCAAGTACTTTAAACAGCCAGAGGGTCACAATGCATCTGTGTCTTAGTGATGAAACATTTAAAAATAAATTATTGCCACAACAAATACGATCTGGCATATATCCCGGATCAAATAGCTATTAAATAAAAATGGTAGTTGATTTCCTGCATCATAGCAATTGTTTCATGTTTTCAGCACTGATTTTTTTTTTTCCTTCTGTACAATATTATAGGAAAAAAGAAAGAAAGTTTCCTTGCCTGGTTAACACAGCAGAGCAATTTGTAAAGCCTGCTGTAATTTTGATTTAAAGAAACCTATGTGGAAAAGTATTTACTCAGGGCAGACACTTGAAATAAGGGTTTTGCATAAACGATGGTCATTTGAATACAAGCATTTCTCTTTTTGCCTTTGGTGAATCCCAGTAAGAAGAAACATGTTTACTCAAGCAGCCCCTCCCAGAGAACTCACAATTTCTCTATGATCTTTTTTTATATATATAATTTTTTAAATTTTATTTTAATACAAACATTTCATCTTTCATTAAACAGCGTGTCATCTGAGTACATATTTTTGTGTCATTATATTTAAAATTTACCACCATATTCATTATTTGTATCTATTCTTGTATTACTACCAATACTTAACATACGTACTATTATAACATTTCTCTTTTTAACTTATTTGCCTCTATAATACATTACTTTCATATTTATTCTCTAACCACTGATGAAATAACTCCCATATATTGTAATAATCAGATTCTTCCTTTCCTTTAATTGGAAGTGTTAATCTATTCATTTCTGCACATTCTAATATTTTCTTAATCACTTTTTCATCCGTAGGGACCTCCTCACTTTTCCAATTTCTTGCAAATACAATTCTAGCTGCAGTTATTACATGAATAATCAAGTATATATTTTCTTTATTATAAGCTTCTGGTAGAATCCCCAACAGGAATAGTTCAGGTTTTAAATCAATATGTTGCTGTGTCATCTTCTCCAACCACATACAAATTTTTGCCCAATATTTTTTTGCTTCTACACATGTCCACCACATATGATAATACGACCCCAGTATCTGATGACATTTCCAACGTTTAGTTGATTTGTCTTTAAACATTCTTGCCAATTTTTCCGGTGAAAAATACCATCTATAAAACATCTTGTATAAATTTTCCTTGTATGCAGTTGGCATTGCTAATTTGTAATTTCTATCCCATAGTTTGTGCCATTTATCTAACTCTATCGTATAACCAAGTTTTTCGCTCATGCTGTCATTGTTACAATTTCTCTATGATCTGATGTCTTTCAGCATGTGGTGAAACTCTGCAAGAGTCTACAGGCAACTTTTCCTCTCCAGGATTTCCAAATGGTTATCCTTCATACACACATTGCATATGGAGAATTTCAGTGACTCCTGGAGAGAAGGTATTTTGCTCTGGCTCCTCAGAAAGAAAACATTTATTTTATTAGAAATTGTAAAGCATTAAAACTGAAAGGCTTGAGGGCTTGCTTTTCGTTAAGAGTAGGTAATCAAATAAAGCCTTTTGAACTGCATCTTCATCCCTTTTATTTTGACTCCATCTCTTATTGCAGATCCATTTATGCTTGAAACCTCATGTGAAAATGAGTACAGTCTGGTGATTTCACAATTAGGAAAAAATAACTACCAAACTAGCATCGTGGATTTTAATTACCGTATTTTTCAGAGTATACGACACACTTTTTTATCTCCTAAAAGAGACTGAAAATTTGGGTGTGTCTTATACTCAGAATGTAATCCCATCCACCCGCCAGCCCCCACCCTTCGGCCTCCACGCATCCTCTTCCTGGCTGCTGATTGCTACCAACAATGACTTCTGATTTTGGGCTCTGCACATCACGTTTTCAGTCTCCAAATGCTCCGTTTGAGAGCCCTTCAAGGCTGCAGGGATCACCAAAGCTTATCATCGCCCAAAAACGTGATGCATTTGGAGGCTGAAAACGCGACCTGCGGTGCCCAAAATGGCTCCCTCCAACTATCAGCTGTGCTTTTGAAGCTGTTTTTCAGTCTCAACGTGAGCGAAGTGATCTTCCGTGCTTTGCCTGCTTTTCTAATTGCTGCTCCCTCTGACAATCAGCTGTGCTTTAGAAGCTATTTTTTAGCCCCAACTAACCCCAACCTCAAAACCAGTGAGCGAACTAATGTGCTGAAACTGACCAGGCTAAGGACTCTAGCCAGATGAATACCTGGTAGGAAAAATAGGATTTTTTTTTCCTTTTTTCCTCCCCAAAAACTAAGGTGCATCTTATACTCCGAGAAATACAGTTGGTAGTGGTGCACATCGATGGAAACTCAAAAACAAATTATCCTACTATTTTTGTAGACAGAATAGAGATTTAAAAGAATCAATTTTCTAGTCTTAATTTATTTATTTTTTTAGAAATTTCTTAGTGTTTCTCAACATTCATATCAACCCTTTAATTTGGGGGAAAATAAAGTATGTTTTTAAATTTCAAGAGTCATCCTGACTACCTGTTCTGTTACCCACTTTCAGGGCCATAGCTCTCCTAGAAATGTGAAGAGCTTTTAATCCCAGATCAAAGGTTGTTAATTATTTCTTTGATACAAACAGTTATTTGAAAATTGTTCATTTGATGAAAACATTGCACTTATGGTAACGTTGTTTAGTTTTGTCAAATCCTGAGAACCTGTTTGAGTTATCCCACTGCATTCTGACAGACCTGTGAAAATCAAACATATTACTCTGCATTAGACATCATTGTTACTTCTAATTTGTTTATATAGTCACTCATTTTTTGATTGTGCGGGCAAATGTTCATTGATTGTTTATCTTTGGAAATTTGTAATCATACGATCCTCTTTAACTCTTGGTCTGCTTTGTCTCCAGTTTTTCTGTGTCTGCTGAGTTGCAGAACATATATTAAAGTAATTTTATGGGTCTTGAAGAACATAAGTAATGTCATATTTAGCCGTTGTGTTATCATAACTACCAGTTTTGAAAGATTTTTGTTCTGTTGTGAGATTTCATGTCCAGTATGAGATATCTCTCCATCATTTAATGTGTTTTTTTCTTCCTCTACTGAATGACTATGCTATAGTACTGTCCTACTAGCCTCATTTCATAACACAAGAGAAAGAAATGTAACAGTTTTTCATCCTGCCTTGTGCATTCTCAGAAGGAGAAAGAATGAATGGAAGAACAAAGCTGAATTCTATAACTTCTTTCTTTTAGTTCAAATAATTTAGTCTGTTATGCAAGTGGGCTTGCATTTGGGAGAAACAGTCACTAGAAATTGAATTTTGAAAATAATTTAAATCTACTTAAAATTTTATTATGAAGTGTGCAATTTACTCTGATGAAGCAAATCATAATTTTATATTTCACGCCTGTAATAAAAATATGTATGTCAGAAATCCTACAATTTTTAGCATATAAGAAAATGAAAATAACATATTGCTAATATATCAAAACGTTTTGGTAATTGTCCAACAGTGCTCATAAAGCTTTAGTCCATCCATTTCAATGGGTGGGTTGAAGCATGCCTAATTTTTTATTCAGTCATGGAAGTAGTTGGCAGTTGTAAACACAGCTGTGGTGCCAGACTACCATTTGCTTCAGTTCAACTGCATTGTAACCAGTTTATGTGTTAACTGTTTGGATGCCAGTTTTAAACCCAAAACCTTATAAACAGATTGCACCAGTCCTAATAGTCATGATCAAAGGACAGAAAAGTCCAGATGTTTACTAATGCCATAGCCAGAGCCTTAATAGTTGAATATAATAAGCATTATAGAAATCTGAAGGCTGAATTCACCACTCTGGCTCCTTGGCCTTCTTTTGGCTCATGGCAAAACAAACAGAACTTAGGCATGGTGTTAAAAGAATGCATATTGTAGATAATATCTGAACATTATGTTACGGGGCACATTTTAACTAAAAGAAATATTGAAAATATATCCTCAAATCCCATTTTGATAATAACACTGAAGTATTAGTAGAATTTAGTGTAGTAGTATTTGCTAACACTACTCCTCCTGATTGTCATAACAACAATACAGGATGATAAAATGTGATCTCTCACATAATTACTGTTTCTACTTGCTCAGTTAAAAAAAGTAACAATGTCAATGATATAAAACAATTGCTATATAAAATATGGGCAACAGAGTAGTCAGTTCCAGAGATTCATCCATATAGATACCAGTGAATTAACCAACCTTGTTGATTGCCTTTTCTTCCAACAATACATCTACAGTTTAATAAACTATTAAATAAAGTAACAAATTTATACATTTCATTAAAACATTGCATACTATTTTGTATCTTGATATATTAGTTATAAATCTCTGAACATAAAATTACAAAAAAGGTTCCATAACTTCGGTATGATGTGATTTTCATAATGTACTGTATGCAAATTATAGGCAGGTGAAAACCAGTAAGTAAGCATTTAAGTTTATTTTTCAAATATCAGGGTTGTATTTTCTTACGGCAAGTAGAGGAAGGATAGATTGCCATTCAGATACAGAGGACATGTGCCAAGGTAGTTGTCAAGAAAAAGTACACCATTGCAGTATGAAATTGCATTAACTGCACAATAGCAAAAAGTCATTTTAAAGCAATTGTTCAAAATATGATATGTTCCATCTTAAAATGGTTCCATTCAAAATAATCAATACTCTGATCTTATTGAAATTCTTTAAGCAGACACTGCCCAGAAAATGGTTGGTCGCCTCTGATACAGTTATAATCACAATAAGTGCCTACTTGTATAATCAGCCAATTGAAATCACAGTATTAAACCTTACTTTTAAAAAAAATCAATACAAAGCTTTTATCCTTCAAAATTTCCGTCCCCTGCCCTGCAGGAAATCGTAGACATATCAATTGTCTCTATTCTCCAGCATGGTAGTAACCAAGGGTTCTTATCTCAAATGCCACTGTGGAGATTGACCTCTGATTGACAGGCTGATTGCTTTGGAGGATACAAGAAACCAGACACTATTTTTCCCTCTGTGATAAGGGTGGCGAAATCTATAGCAGCATCTGATATGTTTCACTGCTGAAATTACTAGGACACACAGTTAATGCAGTTCAAATAAATGTACATGATACGAATATGCAGGAGAGATTCTGGTAAAGAAGTTCTAGTGTCACTAGCTAAAATATGTACCATGAAATGGATGCAATCTGTTAGGCTCATCATGGCTGACAAAATAAAAGTTTAAAATCCTTACTGCTGGATTTTATCAGAAAATTAACACTCCCTTCCTTCTGTTACGTCTTTAAGAGCAGTTTTTGATCTCCCTTTTAATCACCCAAATGTCCTCTCTTCTTCTGTCTGTCATAAACACATACATGCCCCATATGATGCTATTCAGAAGGTAAGATTTCCAAAATTATTTTAGAAATATCTTCTTCCACTTTAAAGCCAATATACTGGTAAGAACAGCTTTGCATTTTTCTTTTTTTTTGTCAGGCTACAAACCAATTTACTGGTACTTATCTCCTTTACATTTTTTCCAGATTGTTCTAAACTTTACAACCATGGACCTCTATAAGAGCAGCCTCTGCTGGTATGACTACATTGAAGTAAGAGATGGCTACTGGAGAAAATCTCCTCTGCTTGGTATGAAACTATTGTGGTCAGTTTTGAAAAGTGAAAGGTAGAAATAACAACAACATAAATGGAAATGGAGTTAGTCTTTTGAATCAGGCAGGTGTGTCTGTAGGGAGGGGTAAAAAAAAACAACCCAAGATTGCAGCCACAATCATGCCATCAAAAGCCTATACTTCTTTTTTTATGTGCACATGGAAAAGCTGGGAAAGGTGTTGTAGGATGATGTTATGTGATGGGTACCTCAAAAAATGATTTCGGAATTCATATAGGTAAGAGTGGTTTAGTTTAAGCATACTAACTTAGTGTCAGTTATTTACACATCTGCATTATTTCTGCTTCACAATAAAGTTTTTAAAAAATAAATGAAATTATTTCTTCTCTGATATTTGTTCCACATTAAATTTTATTTTATTGTCATCTGGATGTTTATAGATCTATTATTGTCTACTATTGTCAGATACAACCCCCTACTTTACTCCAAGGCACTTGTCTTTACCTGAGTAAAAGCAGTGGCAGAGTGAAATCTGAAAGAATGACTAAATCAGGGTTCAGTAAGCTGTGTGTGTGTGTGTGTGTGTGTGTGTGTGTGTGTTTGTGTATGTGTGTGTCCATCCGTCCTTTGTTTTATAACCTCTTGAAGTTTCCCTAATTGTGTGACACATTGCCATTTTCCACTAAGGAATTAAATAAATGTACAATTCTAAGCCAAATTTAAATGATTTCCCCAAACTAAAATAGTATGTATGTATGTGTATGTGTGTGTGTGTGTGTGTGTGTGTGTGTGTGTGTGTCTGTCTGTCTATCTATCTATCTATCTATCTATCTATCTATCTATCTATCTATCTATCAATCATCTATCTATCTATCTATCATCTATCTATCTATCTATCTATCATCTATCTAATCATCTATCAGCTATCTATCTATCATCTATCTATCTATCAGCTATCTATCTATCATCTATCTATCACTATCTATCTATCATCTATCTATCTATCTATCTATCATCTATCTATCTATCTGTGGGATGCGGTGGCTCAGTGGCTAAGATGCTGAGCTTGTCATTTGAAAGGTCGGCAGTTCAGCGGTTCGAATCCCTAATGCCGCATAACGGAGTGAGCTCCCGTTACTTGTCCCAGCTTCTGCCAACCTAGCAGTTTGAAAGCACGTAAAAAATGCAAGTAGAAAAATAGGGACCACCTTTGGTAACAGTGTTCTGTGCGCCTTTGGCATTTAGTCATGCCGGCCACATGACTACAGAGATGTCTTCAGACAGCGCTGGCTCTTTGGCTTTGAAAGATGAGAACCGCCCCCTAGAGCCAGGAATGACTAGCATACCTTTACCCTCCCTCCCTCTCTATCTATCTATCTATCTATCTATCTATCTATCTATCTATCTATCTATCTATCTATCTATCTATCTTCTAGAGCTGTAGTTTGTGTCACAGACTGCTTATATCATACTGCATGGCAGCATCTTTAGAGATGCCTTAAAGTGCACTGTCTCACTTTTTACATTCTTTTAGGCAGATTCTGCGGAGATAAACTCTCAAACATCCTCACATCTAGTGATAGTAGAATGTGGATCGAGTTCCGTAGCAGCAGCAACTGGGTAGGAAAAGGGTTTGCAGCCATTTATGAAGGTGAGTCCATAGGAAAAACAACTAGGTTAAACTTTTATACCAGATTAACTTAAAATAGCTCTGTGGCCCAAATTCAGCAGAACGTGCATTTTGGTATAACATGTGAATTTTAAGAAAAGAAGGGAAATAACAAAATACTAAACCATAGCTCTTGAGGTAATCACTTGCTAAAATTATTTCCTCAGACTGCTTTTACAGTTCAAAGAGAAAAATGCAGGAAAGTTTTGAGCAATTATTTAGATTACTTCTAGGATAATTAGCAGTCTTCCCTACTCGTCAGATTTGCTGAGGCTTATGAATTACAGACTTAGCATATTTATAATGGATCAAACTAGGGGAGATTGCCTTATGTGTTAAAAGTAAAGTTAGGTGGGTAGATGTGAATGCAGATGTGGATATGCATGTGAAGTCCAATCCAAATCAATAGGGTTCTCTTGCATTCTATCCCGAATAATTATCAGGTGCCTCTCACAGAAAATTCTTGGGTGATATAATTATTGTCTTACACAACTTTCAAGTACCTTAAAGTTCTTTTTGTGTTCTAATCTCTCAGGAGATATTTCTGGACCCTTCTGAGTAATAATAAACCTGCAAACTGTGGCAGCATACCAGGTTCTGTATGCTTAGAGCTTCCTTTCTGATGGGAAGGGAATTTTCCATGCACTGCAGATTTCCCATTGTGCATGCCAAGCATTTCCCTTTCATAGGCAACAAAGGGAAACCCCTACATTAACAGGTATTGGCCCAGACACTGAAGCTGCTGGGTCATTTCCTATGGCTCCTATCCAATTTGCAATTTACACTACATTCAGAAAGTGTTCAAACCCCCTTCACTTTTGTCGATTTTGTTATGATTCTATAGTGGTTGAAATTTTTCCCCTCATTAATCTACAGTCGGTATCCCATAATGACAAAATGAAAACAGAATTTTAGAAATTTCTGTACATTTATTAAAAAAGAAAAAAACGAAATATCACAGTGGCATAAGTATTCAGACCCTTTGCAACAACATTTGAAATTTAGCCTTGGTGCCGTCCCCCCATTTCTCTTTATCATTGCTAACATGTTTCTACACCTTGATTGGAGTCCACCTGTGGTAAATTAAACTGATTGGACATGATTTGGAAAGGCACAACACCTCTCTATAGAAGGCCTCACAGCTGACAATGCATACTGTAGCAGAGCAAAAGCCATGAGATCAAAGGAACTGTCTGTAGAGCTCAGAGACAGGATTATTGCAAGGCACAGATCTGGGGAAGGCTATAATAAAATTTCTGCTGCACGGAAGGTTCCTAAGAGCACAGTGGCCTCCATAATTCTCAAATGGAAGAAGTTTGGCACAGCGAGGACTTGTCCAAGAAGAGCTGGTCACTCAGTTAAACTGAGCAATCTGGGGAGAAGGGCCATAGTAAGAGAGGTGACCAAGAACCTCTGACTGAACTCCAGAGATCCTGTATGGAGATGGGACAGAGTTCCAGAAGGACAACCATCACTGCAGCCCTCCACCGATCTGGGCTTTATGGCAGAGTGGCTAGACTGAAACCTCTCCTCAGTGCAAAACACATGAAAGCCTGCTTCGAGTTTGCTAAAAAAAAAAACACCCGAAGAACTCTTTTGTGAGGAACAAGATCCTCTGGTCTGATGAAACCAAGATTGAACTGCTTGTCTTCAATTCTAAACATTTTGTCTGGAGGAAACCAGGTACCGCTCCTCACCTGCCCAATATCATCCCAATAATGAAGCATGGTGGTGACAGCATCATGCTGTGGGGATGTTTTTCAGTAGCAGGGACTGAGAGACTGGTCAGGGTTGAGGGAAAGCTACATGGAGCAAAGTACCGAGCTACCCTCAATGAAAACCTCTTCCACAGTGCTCAGGACCTCAGACTGGGCCAAAGATTTACTTTCCAACATGATAACGATCCTAAGCACACAGCCAGACAACACAGGAGTGGCTTAGGGGCAACTCTGTGAATTTCCTAGAGCAGTGATGGCTAACCTTTTCTGGATCGAGTGCCCAAAATGCACGCACGTGCAACTGCGTGCTCCCGCACCCCCAAAATGCAATGCGCCCCACCCCCATACATGTTTGCGCCCCCACACATGCACCCTGTCCCGTGGATGTGCCCTGCCCCTGCGATGCACCCTGTCCCTTCTTGCACCCCACCCCACACATGCATGCCCGGTGCCCCCTCATGCACACACCCTCCCGCATGCACCCTACTTCCCGCACATGCCCGGCAGAGACCCGAAGACCAGCTGGCCGGTGGGAGGCACATGCATATGCGCAGCTGAGCTGGGGTGACGGCTTGCGTGCCCACAGAGAGGGTTCTGCGTGCCACCTCTGGCACCCGTGCCATAGGTTCGCCACCACGGTCCTAGAGTGACCCAGCCAGAGCTGTGACTTGAAACCTATTGAACATCTCTGGAGAGACCTGAAAATGGCTGTCCACTGATGGTTGCCATTCAACCTGACTTGAGCTTGAGAGTGTTTGCAAGAAAGAAGGGCAGAAAATCCCCCAATCTAGGTATGTAAATTTTGTCACGTCATACCCAAAAAAGACTCAAGGCTCTAATTGCTGCCAAAAGTGCTTCAACAAATTACTGAGTGAAGGGTCTGAATACTTATGTCAATGTGATATTTTAGTTTTTTTCCTTTTTAATACATTTACAGACATTTCTAAAATTCTGCTTTCACTTTGTCATTATGTGATACTGGGTGTAGATTAATGATTTTAAAAAAATGAATTTCAGCGACTGTAGTATCAGGCTGCAGCATAACAAAATTGACAAAAGTGAAGAGGGTCTGAGTCCTTTCTGAATGCGCTGTACAGTAGGTGGATTGCACGGCATACAGTTTTAAACATAAATTTTATCAGGAACATTTGATTCATATGTTTGTCATTTGAATGGGTCCTCCAGACACAAGTAACTTCTCATTTAAAAAAATGTAAATACTGAAAGTAAGCTTACATTTGTTCTTTTGTGTTCTTTAGCAATTTGTGGAGGTGAGATACATAAAAATGAAGGCCAGATCCAGTCTCCTAATTATCCCGATGACTATAGGCCAATGAAAGAATGTGTGTGGAAAATAACAGTGGCAGAGAACTACAATGTCGGATTAACCTTTCAGGCATTTGAGGTAAAGCCTTTTAACTGAGCAAACCATCTTGTGACTAACTGACAGTGACATTTAAGGGAATCCTCATTAAGCCAACATCGACACAAAGCATTCTCTGTATAACATAAAGCCATACAGTAGTTCATATTTCCTTTCACTGAGACTTTCATTGCAGAAATTTCAAAAGATGAAAGGGTTTTATATTATCTCACTATTTGAATAGGAATGTTTTAAAAACTGACAATAGTTTCTTTTAACAAGTAACTAATCCTATTCCAAAGGCTATTTAAGGAATAGAACTTTTATTTCTTTCTAAAATCTCTTTGTTCTCATTTCTCTCTTCATACAATTACATCATGCTGATATTTTATAAAGGGATCAAAATTGTACTGAATTTTATAATGATTTCTAATTTTAATTTTTATACAATGTAATTTTATTCGGAACCATATTTATTACATACTGTTAAATAAGACTGTAAAACTAACTTTTTTCTGATTTATGTTATAATCTAGGCCAGGAAAATACATTTCATAGCATTGTTCAAACTCCCTTTGTGTCATAGGGATTAGAAAATAGGTAGGTAGATAAGTAGAATTACATAAGTGAAACAATAAAAAAAAAGTTTTATAAAGTTTTTATACAGGGTGCGCTGATTTTTTACTATATGTCTACTTTCTTTCCTTTTCATTAGCTGTTAAAATAATAGGAATTAAAACTGCAATCCTGCTCATAATCAATCAACTCAGGTGCAGAATTGTACTTTAAAGAAATTTCAAAAGAGCCATTCTCATGAAACGCATCTGGAGTAAGAACTGAGGGAAAAACATCCTCAGAAAGATAGAAGACATCCCTTAAATAGCACAGTTACAGAATAGAAGCCTTGTGGTGCTAATATCTCTATTTAAAGATACTGGCTTCCAACTTAGAATTGTTAGTGTCAATAGACCACTGGCCCGAATCAGTGTAAAGACATTAATTTTTTACTGTACTAAGTTTTGCCTAAGGCAAAACATTATTCAAATCTAATCTATGTGTGGTCATATTAAAAATTATTTTTGTTGCTCAATGAAATACATTATCTGTTGAATTTCCAAGCTTTGTAACTTTTCCTATTTCTGATTTTTGCATCTACCTTAAGTTCAGGTTGATACTTATTTGGCCACAGGATGGCAATTAAAAATTGCTTGGTGCCAACATAATTTCTCTTCAATTTAATTTTACTTTTGAAAGAAGCCCTGCTCAGAATTTGAATAGGTTTCCCAAGAATCTACCGTGTTTCCCTGAAAATGTGTTTTATATTTTTTTGTACCCCGAAATAAGCACTTGGCCTTATTTTTGGGGAGGTCTTATTATTTTCGGGTGCATGGAGCAAGATGGGGCTCCTCTTGCCGTCTTACCTGATTTCCAGCTCTGTCTCCCTAACCCTAACCAAAGGAAATGGTGGGGACCAGCTGTGCATGCATTTTAAATATTTTCAGGGAGGGCTTATATTTGAGGAGGGCTTATTTTTTGGGGAGGGTTTATTTTAGGAGGAGGGCTTATTATCAGGGGATGCCTTATTTTCGGGGAAACAAGGTATATTCTTATATTAGAAATTAAATAATACAGTTAGTCTAAAAATTGTTAGCAGAAATATACACATTATAATTTTGATCCAATATCATTTTATATTTGCAGATTGAGAGACATGATAATTGTGCCTATGATTATTTAGAAGTCCGAGATGGAGTGAGTGAAAGCAGCCCTTTGATTGGCCATTTTTGTGGCTATGATAAACCTGAAGATATAAGATCTACCTCAAATACCCTGTGGATGAAGTTTGTTTCTGATGGGACAGTCAATAAAGCAGGATTTGCTGCTAATTTTTTTAAAGGTAATAGTTTGGGCAATTAGTGGTGTAGTTGCATTTAAGAGCCAAGGTGGCACAGTGATTAGAATGCAGTATTGCAGGCTAATTCCACTCACATTGCCAGGAGTTCGATTCCCTGTATCCTGAGTGGCTCAAGGATGACGTAGTCTTCCATCCTCTGAGGGTGGTAAAAAGAGGACCCAGATTGTTGGGGGTAATATGCTGACTGTAAATCACTTAGAGAGGATTGTAAAGCACTGTAGAGCAGTATATAAGTCTAAAGTGCCATTGCTATTGCTGATGATAAAACTCAGGAAAAAATAATGTAGAGACTTCCCTTAATTTAAATTTTATTGTTCAAACATTTTTTCTGCTTCTGCCCCTGATCCTGTAGCCTTCACTACAAAAACTGTAAGATTGGTTTGATCTATGAGCTTTCAGGTTTCTTTTTCATCTTTCGTTTATTCTCACTACAAAATGGTTTCCTAAACCAGAAGATCCCAAGTGATTTGAATGCATTTAGAGGGGCAACTTCTCTCACTAATTTTGCTAAGAGTTGATTTTAAAGCTGAGATCGCAGCACAATTCTTTGGAAGCTCAGATGGTTTATATACTGGAGGTAGCCTAAAGAGGAAAACCTAAACAGGGTGGAGATGGAACTTCTCTGTATAGAGCAATGAGAATATAAAACCAAGTGGATACAATGCAAGAATCAACCAAATATACTTTATTTATTTCATTGATTTACACAGCTGCTTAACTCAGGGCAGCGAAGACCATCAGAAAACAGCAAAAGTCAATTAAAACCCATAATCAAATTATAAAACTGTACACCAAAGCAACCATGTGCAAACAGGTGTCAAGAAAAAGACCCTCATCCAGTCACACCAGTCCCATACCCTGCATTTAAGATATTTAATGTCTTTGATATTTTCAGCAAAGATGACCAATATTGTACCCATACTGTGCCCAGCTTTGAATTTAACTGAAAGTGATCTACAAAATCCTTTTCATCTATTCAACAATCCTCCTTAACCACCGCCAGACCACTGCCTCCTTAACCACATATGGAGCCATCCCTTCTCTCCAGGAAGAAACCACCATCACTTGGACCTAACCACATGTCACCTGTAGGAAGATCTTAACCAACAAGAAGGAGCATCATCCTAAAATATAGGCTGTAACTGCTATAGGCAGTTACAGTTCCACTGTCTATATCCAGTTCCTCAATGTCAATAGGACAAAAATTATTTGTAGATAACCAAATCACCCCATAACTCATCCAACTCCAGAGAACCTCCACAGAAGAAATCCAACCCGAGTGAATCCAAGGGATTTTAATTGATCGACCCAGTAAGGTACTCAGGAATTCCACCAAGCATCCTCTGAAACCCAACTGCAATCATCAGCAGACCAGATGCTTCCTGCAGTGGGGAGCAGATAGGGACAAGTCCAAAGCAATCAAAAACTATCTTTCATGTTAATGGAATCAACTATGGGGTGGATCTTATGGGATAATAGATAACTGCAAAAACTGTGCATCACTGAATAAAATATGGTATGGGGCTATCTTGTTTCCTAGAGATTACGCTCACCTCCTAGTGTCTTCTATTGTCATCATTCCTTGCCCCTCTAAAAGTTTTATGGCTGAGCTGACGAAGTTTATTATTTTTCAAGTCCTTGATTAAGTAATTGATGGGAGGGAGTTTTGCTTTATTTTAGTCCTCCTAACCAGTCCCAATTTCTCCTGCACATAACCTCCGCTAATTTTGAATTCTTGAAATTACAAATTATTTCAGTGTCAGCTGTATCCCTGGCTGATCAATATAAACAACAGAAGTAGAGAATAACAAGTCTCTAGGTAACAGATATTCATGATGGAAGTATGCAAGAACCTTTACCTAGGAAAAGGAACTAAAATATTTTTTAGATCTAGAGCAATGAGATAACATTTGGAAGCAGCTCAGGAAGACTCCTCTCTGATTTAAAAAGGTAAAGGTAAAGGTTCCCCTCGCATATATGTGCTAGTCGTTCCCAACTCTTAAGTGGGGAGTACTCATCTCAGTTTCAAAGCCGAAGACCAAGTGCTGTCCGAAGATGTCTCTGTGGTCATGTGGCCGGCATGACTAAACGCCAAAGGCGCACGGAACGCTGCTACCTTCCCACCAAAGGTGGTCCCTATTTTTCTACTTGCATTTTTTGCATGCTTTCGAACTGCTAGGTTGGCAGAAGCTGGGACAAATAACGGGAGCTCACCCCGTTACACGGCACTAGGGATTCGAACCGCTGAACTCACGACCTTTCAATTGACAAGCTCAGCGAGTAGGTACAACACAACAAGATTCTGTTACTGTAACCAATCGCAATAAAAATAATTTCAGCCTTCCTGTAGAGTTGATTTTCTGGTCTGGTCTAATCAACTGGAACAATGCTTAAAGGGGCATGCCTATCTTCTCAGTCATTAGATGTATCCTACTTTGTGAAAATGCTTACATCAAACACAGTTTGTGTTATAAATGCAAATTTGTTGTTGTTTTAATACAATATAAAAAAATTTGAATGCAATGCTATTTTTATTTCTCAGAGGAAGATGAATGTGCCAAATTGGACAATGGTGGATGTGAACAACGATGTGTGAATACGCTGGGCAGTTATCAGTGTGCTTGTGATCCAGGTTATGAGCTTGGGCCTGATAAGAAGAGTTGTGAAGGTAATTGAGTGCACTAATTTTCAATATTCCAGAGACTATTTTATTACATGACTTGCTTTTATGGAAAGTACTGTATCTGCATTAAGCCCAATTTTACATTCTTGCCAAGGCTGATTTTGTGTATGTATTATAAATCTTACACCAGCTATTTCTCAAAAATGCTGACCTGACAATAGATTCCATGCATAGTGAGTTAATAAAAGTTTACTCTAGCCAGCTGGCTATTTTTCAATGTCAGTATGTCTTGTTCTTCGTGAGATGGGTATGAATTTTATGAAATCATGGAAAATATTTAACTATTAAAAACATCTCTAGATATAACACGTGTATGTTCTAAAAGTAGCACTGTATATTTAAATAAAACAGGAAAAAGATAAATCTTACCATGCTACTACTCTGTTAAGTCTCTTTACTATTACCATTCTATAAAGTTGCTTGGAGTTTTGCCAAGAACAAGGTAAGATCAGGTCTCAAATTACTACAAATACAGTCATTTTCCTCTACTTCCATTCCTCTTTGTAGATAAGGCAGAAATCAAGGATCTCTGGCCACAAAGAACTATTAAATAAACATATAGCAGTTGCCTAATATATCTGAGTGAACCAACTAGTGTCCATTACAGTAACTCAGAAAGATGGAAATTAAAACATGGTGCTACATAAAAGTTTCAACTTCTTTCCACGGCAGAGGGAAAATTATCTTTGTGTTGGTAGCTTCATTCATGCTCTCAATAATTGCAATAAAGAGATGAATTAGGACAGTGGTTTTCAAATTGTGGTCCGCAGACTCTTGACGGGATCCGTGATGTCTTCTCAGGGGGTCCATGAAGGCTTGAAGAAATGTTATGACTTAAATCTTGAGTTAAGTCTTGGTGGTCCATGATCCACGGCCACAAAAGATATTTAAAGGGGGTCCGTGGTGAAGAAAAGATTGAGAACCCCCAAATTAGGCAATGTATATCTGGGAATCTTTTGCTGGTTAAGCCTACGTGTGAATAAGGAGTCAAGTGTCTGGAAAGCTACAATGTACTGCTGATCTCTGGTTTAAATGAGCTAGTCCTGACAGTAGAAAAAGCCAACCCCCCTCCCCAAATTTTCTTTTATTACAGAGCAATAAATACTCCTTCAGAAAATCTAGAAATTTTTTTTGCATGAACAAATATAATATTTTATATGGATAATTTTACCTCTAAAGCTGTACTTCATTTGTGAAATCACTCCATTTCTATATAAGAACTTTCCAGAAGAAAAAGTGTTATGTATATCTTACATCTAAATATTTGTGGCATCATGTCTTTTCTCTTAGTATATTAAGTAGGTGTGACTTTAAGATATTCTCAGCTCCTAGCAACCAGATAAATAGATTTTCTTCATGATGACCTATCCACAACCTGGTCCTTCAGCTCTTCCAACAGCGTATTCATAGCCAATAGGATTCTTCCACCTTGCTTCTGATCATCTTGTTCTCTCCTTTCTGCCTTTCTCAGTGTTAGTCCTGCCTTTCCTGGAGAGCTGCAATTTCATATACCCTATTTTTTGGAATATAAGATGCATTTTTCCCCCCTAAAAGAGGGTGAAAATTTGGATGCGTCTTATACACCGAATGTAGCCCCTTCAACCCCACCCTTTGGCCTCTGCCTCCCAGCAAATTGCCTCCTTACAGCAAACAGCCCATTTCAGTTTCAGCTTCAGCACAGTCTGATTAGCAGAAGCAGCTGATTGTAGGTTAGATCGGCCTCCCAACCATCAGCTGTTTCAGGCTACAGGGATTGCCATTGCCTATTGCCGCCTCCACGCGCCCCATTTTTGGCCTCTGCTATTTGCTGCAAGGAGGCAAATTGCTGGGAGGCAGAGGCAGATTTTTTTTCTTGTTTTCCTCCCCAAAAAAGGTAGGCACGTCTTATAGTTTGGAGCATCTTATACTCCGAAAAATACAGTAATATGTCCAAAATAGGATAATTTGAACCTGATTATTATTTTTATTTTATTTTATTCAATTTGTATCCCGCCCTTTTCCTAGTGGACTCATGTCTGTGCACAGCCAGAACTAAGATACATACCAATACAAAATTAAATTTTTTTAAAAGAATTATATAACTTTGGCCCAAAATTTAAAATATTCAAACTAAAACCCATTTACAATTTAAAAGACTAAAAAAGGGGGGGAGGGGGTTTCACGCCAGCCCTGCTTGATTGAAAAGAAAAGTTTTTAGGGCACGGCGAAAAATCCGGAGATCCGATATCCTTCGTATCTCCGGGGGCAAATCGTTCCAGAGGGCAGGAGCTGCCACAGAGAAGGCCCTCTCCCTGGGGGTCGCCAGCCGACATTGCCTGGCTGACGGCACTCTGAGGAGTCCCTCTCTGTGGGAGCATACTGGTCGGTGGGAGGCTATCGGCGGCAGAAGTATATTATGTGCATTTTGAATAAGAATTCTGAGTTGATTTGTTTGGCGATCTGTTTCTTTGCTTTCTTCTAAATGCCTAAGATTAATATTCAGCTCTAAATTTGTGATCATGAAATTCATACCTTAGTTAAAGAAATTAAATCAATATAATCCTGCATGGGACTTCCGGTTTGCTGTTTGTCGCCGCCAGACGCTCCTTCGGGATCGTCAAACCCACTGCCTGTAAGAACCGCCTTTACAGCGGAATGGCGGCTCGAAAAAACTCCGTTTCCATGAGGAAACGGAGATAGAGCCGGCTGGGGTGGGTAGAGCTCTCTGCCTAATCCCAAAAGTTTTTTATTTACTTTTGGGACGGAGCGGAAGAGACTCCCCATATCCCCAGCCGATGCTCCGGGCTTTGGGAGATCTCTGCTACATGCAGAGCTAGGTGGCAAAAGCAAGCCTGCTAATTTGATAAATTAATTAAAGAAGACGTGAGCTGGACCTCTGATCCTGAAGCGCAAGTATTTTACTTATTTTATAAAAGTTACTGAAGCTATTTAAGAAGGGAAAGGAAAAAAGATTTTTAAAATGGCGACTGCCACGGCCTGAAGAGAGGCTGAAAGGGAAAGTCCTTCCGTTTTCTATTACAAAGTAGCGGAATGAATACTTCTGGTTGCAATTGAAGGCAAAACCCCACTCTCGTGGTTTTTTTTTCTTCTTCTTCTTCTTCTCCTGGAGATCTGATATTGATCTTGGTTGGGGATAAAAAAAGTTTTTTTTCCTCTTTTCCAGTAAATCTTGTCTGGGTGGAAAAATGGCACTGAGACTTATAAAGTTAGACAAACAGGCAGTGGGGGGGATTCCCCCATTAACAAATTACATGAACAAGTTCTAACTCTCCAGTCTCAGAAACCTGATTTTAATATAATAGAATTTTTCCTAGAGGAGATTGTAAGAAGGGATGAGATTGTGAATCAGCAACTTGAAAAATTTAAGCAGGAAATTAAAGAAATTGGTGAATTGGTGAAATCTAAGTTTGACTTTTTGGATCGAAAGATTTTAAAAACGGCTAACGGTTTAGCAGACTTTATGATTCAGTTGGATGCAAATACTAAATTATTAGAGTCTAAAATGAAAGAAACTGAGGATAATTTGGATGATAAGATCCAAAAAATTAAAAAGGATTTGACAAACATTCAGGATAATAGTTTAGAAGACAAACCTAAAATGGAGGCTGATCAAAAGACTGGTAATGAAGAAAATGTACAACAGAGGATCGAAAGAGAAGTTTTAATGATCCAACATAATTTTACAGAATATGCAATTAGACTGAGAGGTCTGCAGGAAAATAACAGAGATGATTTAAGGAAAATATCTTCTGAGATTCTGGCTGGGATTTTAAAGGTTCAACCTGATGAAGTGTTTTGCAGGATTGACAGAATTTATAGAATAAACTCCTGGTTTGCAAAGCAAAGGCAATTGCCTAGAGATGTGGTGATTTATTTTACGGATAAAGAAATTAGGAATAATATTGTGCAGAATTCCTTTAACTCTACTTTGCAATTTTGTGGAAGAAAGATTTGGATTTTTAAAGAGCTCCCGCCTAAGATGTTAACGGAGAGGAAGAAATTTGGTTTTCTAGTGACTGAGTTAAAAAAAAAGAAATATCCTATTTAGGTGGGATGTTCCAATCGGTTTAATATTGAGATATCAAGGAGAAAGATACCAACTGAATACTGTTGAAAAAGCAGGAGAATTTTATCAAAAAATTTTGAAAATGAATTTAACATCTTTAGGCATAATACAGGACAAGCAAAAGGAGTTGGAAACAAAGGGAAAATATCAAATTACAGAGGCTGCGGTAGATAAATTGTCTTTGGATTCCTTGGATACCCTAGCTGGATTGTCTATAAATATGAGAGCAGTGTCATCCGACTCCAGTGTGATGAATCATCAAGTTACAGACAAGTACGTAAACCAACCAGTTGACATACAAGTGATAGAAAAGAAATATGAGATATCAAAACAAAACCAACAAGATCAACTTATAAAACAGAATGAAAATCGAACAGTTGATACTCAACTTGTAGGAAGGAAACCAGGATGGAAATTAAACCCACAAAAGAAAAAGAAAAAAAGAAACAGATCTCATAGAAATAGTAGTTTCTAAATCAAGCAACAGTGAAGCCAGGGACTTTAAAAAAAAGAATGAATATGTGAAAAGATAGTGGAGGCGAACTATTGCTTAATATCATCTTGAGGACAGTGGCAGACCTCTGCAATGCCGTGATTTTGGGATGTGAAAAGAGCCTTACATTGTTGGATTTGAATCATCTACTTTGGATTTTTTTTACCGATAAATATATTATAACTATTTCGAGTTACAAGGCAAGAGAGTCACGCTGGGGCATGCAGAAGATCTGGTTGTTACCCACTAGGATGATGGGAATTAATAATCCTGATGAAAGCCACAATTACAACTATATGGAATATAATTATAATGTCACTCGGGTGGTTGTTTTTACTTTTATATATATATGAGGATATTCATTACTGATGGGGGCAGAAGATGATTGAAGATTTTGAACAAACTGTTGCACCAGGATGCTATGTTACCCTATTATGGACGATGGATTTAACAATCCAGTGGAAAGACATTACAGAAGATATTATATGGATTATAAACTTAAAGTCATTGTCTTTTTTCTTTTTATATAATGGAATGTATACATAGATAGATATATATATTAGCAGAGTGGGCAGTGGATTATATTTAGAATTGTAGTGCATGGTAACTTTGTAGGAAACTGGGTGGAAATAGGTTAGTTTATTGACTGATTAGTTTAAGCAAAGGGATTTTTAAGTGATATATTTAGGGGAGTGGAGGAAATGGATAGAATTGAATAAATGTTAAATTTGGATGTAGGGATAAGGCTGCTTTGAAATGTTATATTAATATATATAAAAGATTAAATGTTAAAGTAGGAAATGTTGTTGTAATAATATATAGATATAGGTTTGGCGGAGGAGAAAAAGGGCAGATTATTGCTAAAATGGGAGTTATAATAATATTATGCTAAGGGTCAGTATTTAGAGGAGGGAGTAAGGGAATGGTAAAATATTATGAAATTAGTTATGAATTAGGTTATTGTTCTGAAGAAGAAGTCACAGGGAGGGATGGGTGGTGAGGAGGGGTTAGGGAGGAGGGGGGGAAAAGGGGGAAAAACTTGTATTTGAAAACTTTTTCAATTAAAAAAATATATATATAATCCTGCATGAATTACTTAACAGATTTACAAATTTAGCTTGAGTTGGGCAGCCTTTTGAGGGAGTGGTCGCCATTTTTTAAAAGAAGGAAAATAGCTGCAAACTCACATACGCAACAAATTCCATAAGATTTCAATTGTGTCTCCACAAAATTTTGCAGCTATTACTTATTTATTGGAGGAGAGTTGGAATTCTGTGGGTGATATTCCACTGTATTGGTCACAGGCATTTCATAAGTATTGGGGTGCCCATAAATACTGTATACTCCTCTGTCTGGACTAGCTTAGAATATGATCATGGAGTGACAGATTTCACATATTTTCACTAGGAAAATGTTCTAATACAAGCTTTTTAGCATCCTGGTCTCAGACCCACCATGAATTCTGTTTTGGTTTGTCTTTTATTTTCTATTTTGACTTTCAGCTGCAGTTTGAATTGATACAATGCTGATAATATGAATAAAGAAAAGAGGAAACTGTGATTTTCTGAGAGTCACAAGATATAGTACATAACTGCTTTTTTTTAAAAAAAGAAACAATATTTATGCATGCATCTACCTTGGTCTTCAGTCTCCTTACCTCAGTCCATATATGCCAATAGGCAATATTGGCCATATTTTTGGACTTATCTGTTTTGTTTGTTTGTTTGTTTTGAAAAAATAGATTACTTAATTCATTTACTACTTCTCATGTGTGCAAACTTACGATTTTATGAATTTATAACTTTATGAATTTGTTCTTTCACCTTTATTTCAGCTGCCTGTGGGGGTCTTCTGACAAAGCTGAATGGGACTCTAACAACACCAGGATGGCCCAAAGAATATCCCCCTAATAAAAACTGTGTGTGGCAACTTGTTGCTCCCACCCAGTACAGAATCTCAGTGAAGTTTGAGTTCTTTGAACTGGAAGGGAGTGAGGTAAGTTAATGACAGCCGAAGCTAATATTTGCTTAGGTAATCAATAGTAGCAGAATGCAAAATAGATCCTATTAATGGAAAGTATCCATCATGATTCTTGTTTCCTTAATTGGCTCTTGATTCTTATTTCTTGGGGCTGTTTTAGCTGCATGCTGAATAATCCAACTGAAATCAACACACAAATGAAATCATGACCACATTTCTAAAATCCACTTTGAGATTGGAGATTATTACATGCACATACATGAATATACTCCCATAATTAAAAACATACATCAACACACTGTCAAAATATTAGGTCCAGAATTAATTCCTAAGGGCCAGGAAAAGCCAAGATGACCAAATGTTAGGTCTTTTCATAGAGAATATCATTCATTCAGTAAAAAAGGTAAAAAATGTTTTTGTTAACAAATTAATAAGAATGTTCCAACTCATTTAATACCAGTTCGATGTCAGGGTTTCAATTAGTGCCCTAATGCAATTAAGAGTCTCAAGCCATCTGGCAATAAAAATCCAGTCTTATTAGGAGCAAAATGTCAGCATTACCTAGGTCGGGTGGGCAATGATGGCCCCTTTACGACTTGTGGACTTCATTTCCCAGAATTCCTGAGCCAACCATGCTGGCACAGGAATTCTGGGAAATGAAGTCCACCACTCGTAAAGGGTGACCTAGGTGAAGCCAATTCTGACTTCACCCCCTTCACGCCTTGCCTCTGACCCTATTTTCCTGACCCTATTTTCCCCTCCCCCCAAAATGTGTCACCCAGTCACATTCCCCAATGAGGTAATTTCGCAGGTTGCAGGAGTAATTCCCTCCAGGCATTGCTGGTATCCACGGAGATGGCCTTGACTTGCTCAGCCAGAATGCATCTGAGGAGTAAATTCCCTGCAGCTGCGAGGTGCGATTTCCGATCCCCCTGATTATGGCAACTCGGGAGCAGGTCAGGGAAGCTTCACGAGTTGACACACAGGCATAGGAGAAAGTCATGATTCAGATAACCAAAACTGAAAATTAAGTTTTTAAATTAAACCAAAAATATGGAAAGGCAAATTAAAATGAAAAAAAATATAGGTGTGACAATACTCTTTGCATTACTCATTATTATTAATAGCAAAGGAATTCGAATCATAATACAACTGAGCTAATATTAAGATCCTGGCATCAGTAGGGTTCCAAGTGTGTCACTCAAGAAAAAAAAAAAAAACTATCCAAAGCCTCTTGTATATTTGATCAATTGTGGTGTAATGAGTAATGCAAACAATAAAATAACGAAAAAGAGCTAAACCACATTATGTCTCATGGTTGAAAGTATAAGTTGAAAGATAAATGTATTTCTTAATTGCATTAGGATTAATACTGGAATTTCATTCTTTAGGTGTGCAAATATGATTATGTGGAAATCCGTAGTGGCCTTTCTACTGATTCCAAACCACAGGGCAAATTTTGTGGTACAGAAGTGCCTGAAGTTATCACATCCCAGTATAACAACATGAGAATTGAGTTCAGATCCGATAACACAGTTTCAAAAAAAGGTTTCAAAGCTCACTTTTTCTCAGGTATTAAAACAAATACAGTAAGTGTGATCTGTATGAATGCTTGGGGTTTTTGCAAATACAACTACAGTTTTCAAAATCTTTTTTCCAGGATAAGATTTGTTTATGCTTTTCATTTTTTGATTCCAATGAAGATGAATGGCCAGTCTCTTAACAAGTTCAGTTTCAATTTTTACTTAATTTTACTTAATTAAATAAGTTAATATTAATTTCAATACATATACTATAATAATTGTGACAAGGAAATTTATTTATTTTTTTTATTATTATTATTATTATTATTATTATTATTATTATTATTATTATTTAATCTTTAGTGAGATTCACAGCCTTTGAGGCTAGTTAATAGCTCAGCAGCTCGAGTCCTAACCAAGGACCTAGGAACTGTTAAGGTATTGTCGGAGAATGTAAGCTGTTCCGAGTAAGGTGGTTTTTTGTAGAGTCAAAATGTTCAAGTTCAAGTTGTTGTTGTTGTTGTTGTTGTTATTATCATCTTTATTCATTAAAATGAAACTCAGTCAACCGAACATTCAAAAATGCATCACAAATACCATTGACTGGTGCTAATGGTTGATATGGGTTGCTGCCAGCGTCTTAGGTATCAGCCAAGTACCTTCTTAAGATGTATGATGTTCCAAGTAGCGCAGTTTTGTGCAGTTCCGCTGGTGTTATTGCAGGAAGCTGCAATTTGCTGATGTATGTTATAAAATTCTTGGACATGGTACCAAGTGCCCCGATGACAATGGGTATCATCATCATCATTATCATCACTATTATTACTATTATTATTACAATTATTACTATTATTATTGATAAATATTAAAGATGCACAGATAGGTTAATGTCTACAAAGATTCTCAGACATCCAGGTCATGGTTGTCCCAAAGTTCAAAGAAAAACAAGAAGTCCAGTTGCCTCTTGAAAAAAGCATTGGAACAATGATGACCTGGATGACTGAGAATCTCCATAGGCATTTAGCTATGTACTTTGGGATAAACATCTTTCAAATGGTAAGGAAATATGAAATTTCCAGAAAAATTGCAGACTGCAGGAACCATTTGCGCTTCAGTTTGAGATGCAGACAACACAGACTTATCCCCAACAGCCTGCACCTGTGTTCAACAGTGAAGGGACACAGGGCAGAAAATATCCTGCAGAAAGCACAGCTCCACAACACAATCCTTTCAGCAGTTCCAAGAAGGTTCCATACCCATTTGTACCTCTAAGGGCACAAACAAACTCCCAAGTCACCTCAATGACTCTAAAAGAATGCAAATGACGAGCTATCTGGAAGGAATATAAATCCTTCCATTCCCCACCATCCAGTCAGAGCTGAAAAAGCTTCTTGGATGAGAAGCGAAATGTCTCCAAATTAAAACAAGAAGGTCGAGTTACCTCTTGAAAAAAGCACCTTTGGGACACAGATAGGTTAGAAACTGCAGCACAGGTTTAGTAGAGAAGTTTAGAAAAACAGAACAGATTACAATGCTTTCCTTTTTTTAATCTATGATACATAATTATAATATTATAGCACAATCAAATCAAGGAAATCCTAAGTAGTATATAATTCCTTGTTGCATCGTTATTATTTGTGGCTCTTTTTTCTATACTTTAAGGAGAAAGTTTTCCACAGGGACTTAAACCTAACTAAACCATTAAGTTTCTTTTTTTATGAAATATAGAGGTAAATTCTCTTTGTAGAATAAATGTGTTGTATGTTTTATAGATAAAGATGAATGTTCAAAGGACAATGGTGGCTGCCAGCATGAGTGCATTAACACTTTTGGAAGCTATGTATGCCAATGTCGGAATGGATTTGTGCTTCATGAAAACAAGCATGACTGCAAGGAAGGTAAAAAGTAGTATGCCAGACAAGTTTTTTTTTAAAGAAGTTGCTTGAGTGCATTTTATCATATGCATGTATCCTTATCTTTGCACCTGTTTGAAGATTGTAAGATATTTCATTAAAAAGTGTTATGTAATAGGCTACACAAAATATTCAAATATTGTATGACCATGATACCTCAAAGTCAGTGGAAGCATCTTCTGTGCATGCAGATGAATGTACAAGTGAATGAATGGGAGGGCCATTAAACAGCCACACCAAATATTCAAGAGGATGAAGATCTCAAATTATTTGCACAACTCCCCAAATTAGTATTATGGATTATTGCACATTGTTCTCAGTAATGAGTTTGCTAATTGTAAATGTTGATAGTTAAGATTGAATTATTACAACATATTAGTTTCTAACAAATGTATCCTTTTTTCATAAAGCAGAGAATTAATATCTGGGTTATCTAGCTGTGTGATATCATATATTTTCACTCAATTCATTGATGCTCTCTATCCATCATTAATGCAGCTGAATGCGAACAGAAAATCCACAGCCCAAATGGAATTATCACAAGCCCTAACTGGCCTGATAAGTACCCAAGCAGAAAGGAATGCAGCTGGGAAATAAGTGCCACACCTGGTCACAGGGTCAAAATAGTAAGTAGTAGTTAATATTAGTAACAAATCTATCAGAAGTTTAACTTGAATCAACAGTATTGTTAATGAAGTAAAACTTGAATCGACAGATTTTTAAAATACTGTTTTGTCAGTACGAATGTTAGATTAGAGATCTCTGATAAGTGCCAATACTCATATTCATATTCCAAAAGAAAAAAAAGTGATTTGCAGCTTGCATGGGCACACATATAACAGCTGTCAGGAGTACCTCATAAGCAGAGAGCAAATATGAAAGCCAAGAAAAGATGCAATTGCTTTGAAGTATTCTTGACCCTGTGCATGTGTATGTCCATGTATTCTCTGAATCACTTTTTGCCCTTCAAAAACAGATCTATGAACAGTGCTTGACTCCAACATTGTATCCATGGTATAGATATTGCAGCAGATCTCCCACCATCCAGACCCCATCCCCATGTGAATTCTTAATTTTCCAACTGGCTATGCAACCATATTGTGATTGGAGAAGTTCCCCTCCCCGCAACATGCTGTCATGATTCTAAGCGTGTAAGTGTCCAAAAAGATTAGAGACTTCTGTAGTAGAAGTAAAATATGCACAGAGACATGTGGTATTTAGCACATTATAATGTAATGCTTAGTAGCTGTATGATTTTATTTTAAAAGATTTAAAAATACAAGTGGGAATTCAGTAAAAAATATCTACTTCTCATTTCCCAAGTGATGTTGAAATGACTTCATTTATTGAGTGTGGCTGAAGAGCCATTTATGAGGCCAAAAATAATCCTATCATCATATGGCAAGTACTGGACATGTGTAAAAGTTGACAGTTTGTTCTGGATTTGCATTAAAAGAACAGAGTGTTTGACATTTTCACTACCTTATTTAGAGTTTTTATCACATAGCCTTGAATTCATTTGGTCGGGAAGTATTTTTTTTCTCACTGTCAATTTAGTGACAAGTTACCTCACTTCATTTAAATAACTCCAGAATCAGCTATATTCTCAATGCATCAAAAAATAGCATCATTTATTCTGAAGTCACTTTGTACTCTGTTTCCTGAGTTTGCAGTGTTGCTTATCCATCCTTTATAGCCACTAATCTGTCTGTAAGATTATCTGCTTGTGCTGCCTGAGGAAAAGGAATGCCCCATTCTCTTTGATTCCTCATAAGATGATAGCAGTTGCTGAATCCACTCAGACAACCTGGGACTAGCAGATTCTCTGACCTCTACAAATGTTTTGAGGATTTTTGTCTAGCATTATATTAATAGCAGAAAGGGGGCAGCAATAGTAGACGCACCTGGCTTGAAGGCTCTTGGCCTCCATTCAGTGGTGGGTTCCAACTGGTGTTACCACAGGTTCTCTTCATGCATGCACTTTGCGGGCGATCGCCACAAGCACATTAGGTTTCTAATCCACTCTGCCGCACCTATCAGCTGGGCTAAAAAACGACAAATAAAGATAGGTATAACGCAGGGGTGGGCAGGAGGACCCAGCTCCCAGTCAAAGAGAACCAGTTCGGTGACATCACATCATCACCACTACCGGCTCACCCGAACCGGGAGCAACCCACCATTGCCTCCATTGTAAGAATTCTGGGAACTGAGTCGTTAATCTTTGGATGGTCTTGCAAAAATGTCATTTGCTGACTGTGTTTATAATGAATTACAATTCAAGGATATGAGGAGAGGCAGTGTGTGTAGAATTGTGGGTTCATAGAACAATCTCACGTACAGACTTTCCATTGTTTTTTGGGAAAAAACAATCGCATCCAAAATGGGCCACGTGGAGAGTGGGAGGTGCGGGATGGACGGGGCCATCCAGTCCTTGCAAGTACCGGTTCAGCAAACCACAAGTAAAATTAGTATCCGGTTTACCCGAACCAGTCTGAAACGGCTTAATCCCACCCCTGCATCAAACTGACTTTCATATTGTGCATGTTGCATCATTTCAAACTGATGGTAAGCCGCTCCTCATACCCCATTAAACATGCTTCCTTTTGTGCGTAAAAGTAAAGGTAAAGGTTTCCCCTGTTTAGCTGTGTATCTGTAGGGATCAGTGCTCATCTTCGTTTCTTAGCCGAGGACGCCTGCATTGTACAAAGACATTTCTGTGGTCATGTGGACAGTGTGATATATACCGAGACATACATACATACAATTTTAAAGTAAAACTAACAGCTTTTCTGTAAAACACAATGGGCTTCATGCTGACTATGAATTCTTCCAGATGAGTCTGTTCACTATGCAGCCATTCTGCCATCTTTACAATTTTATGAGCTCTAAACAATCTAAGTATTCACTTGTTCTCCTACCCAGAGGTGAAATGCTACCAGTTCAGTCCGGTTCAAGCGAACCGGTAGTAAAAAAAAAAAAGCTACCGGTTCAGGCGAACCAGTAGTTTAAAAAAGCTACCGGTTCGTCTGGACCAGTATTTCCTATGATCAGCTGTCAACTTACCTAGTGAAGTGGTCTTTTTCCACATGCGGTGCATGTTTGGCGCACGCCACGCAGGCAGGAAATCAGTGGCGATCCGTGGAGGATTTCACCACTGCTCCTACCCCCCCACCTATCATTTCATCCATCTTTCCTCTGAGCCTAAGAAAAACTGCTAAAAAGGGAAAATAATATAGCCATGTAATGCTTTCAACTGATAGCATTAGCAGTCTTTCATTGGAAAAATCCCTTTAGTCATACTTAGTTATATTTCTGTTATACAAAGGGGACATCAATTAATTATGGCCTGCAGATTGAATAGATCTAGTTCTCTTTTTAATAGAAGTGAAGTAGATGTCAAATAGCATAATGATTTGCCTTTTGAAAGTTGTACAGTAATAGCGAACAAAATTTATGAGTGGCATTTGGGATAATATTTCAGCTGTTAATATGTTATCTGCAGCTTCTTTCTATTAATAAGAATGTCTGATCTTTCTTAATGTAGTACACCAAGAGAAAGTATCTCTGTTTCAGCTTGCAGTACTTGTGCTTGTTCTGATTATTTCCATTTTACTGCCAAAATGTCAACACTTGAGCGATATGAAATTTCTCAAGGACAGCTGTTAATATAAAGTGGCAACACATTGTACTTTGGCTGACTTCCATCAGGGAGTCTGCAGATTAGAACAGCCTTATTGTCCAAGACATTTTAACAGATCTCTTTGCTCTGTATTTGATTCTTGTTGAATTTTATTCCTTTTAAATAGACTTAGCATGTTAATTTTATTTGCTAGAAGGTTCTTCTGCTGCTCTTATTCCTATTTAATGTTTTAATAGGAATAAGGTAAAGGTAGCTTTAGAGGTAAAGCTACAAGGATGTTAACTTCATTTAATCTATATTTAAGCCATGTGTGTACCAGAAAAGATGGATATTTCTCTTTTTTAATACCTGTATTGATAACTTTTTATAAATAATAAACAGTGGAAATCCTATGCAAATTTAGAATACTATTTTATGTTTATACCAAATATAAAAATGCTATTACATTAGGGATAACATTTTTTAAATAAAATCTCTGTATTCTGATTTACTGTTCTCCAACCCAACTGACTTTTCCTGAATCCTAAACTTCAGATAATATTTTTTCTGCTTTCAGAGAAAAATGCCTATTTTAATCCACTCTAATTCAATTCTGTGTTCTCCTATAATCCAGCTAAACTCTCAACATGGGAGACACCTGCCCTAAAAGTTTTACTGAATTTTCTTTGGATTTTAAATGAAAAAAACCATATATGACAATAACTTTTAACTTATATTAGAGCCACTGATTCCCATATTCAAGAAAGAGGTCTTATAGGGAAGTTACAACTAGCAGAATGTGATTAATATCCTTAAAAGAGCATGAACTTTGCATAAGTTTGGGCTGCAATGGAGCATTGTAGATAATGAAGTACTGAGGAATATTTTTTCCAAATGATTTATATTCAGGTTGGTGAAAAATAATTTGATGCTGAAATTTTACCAAAGGAGAATATAATTTTGTAGACAAGGAGCATGAGTCAAATGCTATGTGTTTGTATTTATTTAGTAATGAGTCTAAGGGGTGTATATTCTGTTTTTCATTGTACAGTCATCTCTCCAGAGGTCGGGTCTCTGTGGATTCCTACACTTAATTAAATCCTACAGGAAGACATTATAAAGGAACTCCACCTATTGGGGTTTTTATTAAAGATGTCATACATCACTGAGTATGTCTTCTAGCTCCAGTATTGGAGAGTAATTCAGAAATAATATTCACCCAACTTCTGTGCTTAAGATTTAGTTCAAGAATTTTGAAGAACTGTTTCTGTCTTGTTCAAGTTAGAACTATGTTCATCATCACAAACTTTTCATGCCAACAGAGGAAAATCAGAAGGAATTCTATTAACCACACATTAATTAACTGCTGAAGGAAGCTTGAAAATTACTTACATTGAACAAAAAATAATAATATACAGGAATGAAAAGAAAAGAAATCTTTGAATGTTTAGGTTTATGAAAATTTCCTTCTTTTTTAAAAAAATTCAGCCAAAGTACCAAAATATTTTTCCTTTTAATTTTAGTTGTGGTTATTTAATGAATTCATTTCTAAAAGCTCTAAAATATAGTTTTAAAATTAGTTTTATAACACGTTTCCGAAATTTTCCTTTAGCTTTCTTTCTAGTTATCTGAAAAGCATGAAACCATCTTATAAAGTTGAAAAAATCATATAGATATAATCTATATAATCATCTAGATATAATCTAGATTTTCTTATTTTTATCATGGATAGATGATAGGAATAAATATCTTGGTATTTTTTAATGCAAATGATGATTGCAAACTGAGAAAGCTATAAAGAGCACAATTAGATCCAATGCAAAAGAACTTGTAATAAATCTCCAAAGTTCTCATAAATATACAGTATCTATATTTGGGCTAAATTAGACCTTTATTATTTCATTGTTTGCTTCTTCCAATATCACCGTCTGATATTTAATTTAATATTTAGAATGATTCTGATCAGTATGTATAATTGTCATTGGGATACACTTAAATTCTGGATTAATATTTTGCTATTTTTTTCCAGGTATTTATTGAGTTCGAAATTGAACAACATCAGGAATGTGCTTATGACCATCTGGAGATATTTGATGGAGAAAATGAAAAATCCCCAATTCTGGGGCGTTTATGTGGAAATAAGATACCAGATCCTCTTATTGCCACAGGAAATAAAATGTTTCTCCGATTTGTCTCTGACGCATCGGTTCAAAGAAAAGGCTTCCAAGCAACCCATTCAACAGGTGTGAAAATAATTTTTACTAACTTCAATGGATATCTGTTTAACATCATTGTGGTGAAAGTTTAATCAGGTTCCTTGTGCAGAAAACAGGATATATTTTATATACATATACTAAATGCACAGAGTACAGTTTAATAATCCATTTTGTTATTTCTTGGAAAACCAAATCATAATGTTTTATATATTTTAAATCAAGCTGAACTATAAATCTTGGTGATCAAAATTCTTTCATGAAAAAAAAAAGTTTCTGCCAGCAATTAAAGTTTTGTCCTGCTGGAATCAAATAATGTCTTGTGATGTCTATTTCTTTGTTTATACTGACATCTAGCGGTTTTTCGTTTGTTCTTGGTGCTTCTCAATCGTGGTAGAAAAATAAATCTGATCCCTTTCAAAACTAGAACTAAGGCACAAATCTTTTCTTTCCCCCATCTTTCCCACAGAATGTGGTGGTCGCCTGAAAGCTGAAAGCAAGATGAGAGACCTTTATTCTCATGCTCAGTTTGGAGATAATAATTATCCAGTTCAAGCAGATTGCGAGTGGTTGCTGGTGTCAGACCACGGCTATCGAATAGAGTTAATTTTTCAGACATTTGAAGTAGAAGAAGAAGCAGACTGTGGCTATGACTACTTAGAAGTCTTCGATGGTCATGATACATCGGCTCTGAGGATTGGCCGGTTTTGTGGATCAGGGGTAGGTTTCGCAATTATCAAATTTCTTCATAAAAAATCAGAACAGCATATGTAGGTGTGCCATAGAGATATCTATGCACTAGCATCTTTCTGCTGTTTTCCATTTTTCTTTAGCAGACTTTCATGTCCAGTTTGTTACAACCAAAATCTCTCTGAGTTTAAAGAAAGCTTCAGTGTAGTGGAAGGATTACTGTTTGGGGGGGGGGAATTAAACTCCTGCAAACTTGTGCTCAGAAAAATTGTGTTAAAGTAACTTATTGGTTGTATCAGTAATTTAGTTTTTTTGCAGTGAAAGTATTTGTTTCTTAAAGCTAAGAGAATAAGATAATTTTTGTTTTTGGCAAAAAAACAAAAATTGTTACTGAGAGGCAGGTAGATAGAAACAATACATAAAGGTGTATAGAAGAATAAGAATTTTAGACATTCTATTATTGTTTAAAATGATTTCAGAGGTGCTGTCTGAAAACAGAAAACAGCAATTGAGGCAGCTACCTTTTTCATTTAATATAGAATCTTTCATACCATTTTTGGAGGGGTGGGTTAGTCCTGAAGAAAAATTGAAATTTTCCTGTCAGATTGACTATAAAGGTTTTCCAAATAGTATTTCCATGTTTCCACTTCACCTTTAACTTGTGACAAAAAATAATTTAATTCTCAAAATGGAACATTCTCATCTCTAAACCAAGTGATTACAATAACAAAGGCGTATACAACTTCAGGCCATGTAAAAATACCGCTAATCTAATCGAATATCTAATTTAGCTAGCAAGACTGAGTCAATTTCTTAAGCTGCCTATATTTATATATCTTAGGTTATTTAATGAACAGTGAAATTAATTCATTGTGAAAAACTGTTGGATAATTTCTTCAGAACTTTTCAAGCAAAAGGATTGTTTTACTGAATACAACCATTAAAGATGACATTGTGTACCAATTTATTTACAATCCAGCAACGGAATATAGAAGAGTTATAATTTATATAGTGCAATTTTAGACAAACACAGTAACATCTCGGGATCATCCTTCTGGCAAATTCTTAATGATTTCTGCAGTATATGTAAAAGTTTTATATTTAATTAAGCAGATATAATCATAATTAAATTTAAATAAAAGCAATTTTTATCTTGCTGTTATGTCCTTTTGCTTCACCAATCCTTTGGCATGTAGCTTGACATATAAAGGCCAAATGCAATTCTTACCCTGCCAAAATAATATTCATTGGCAGATGAACGAACACAGCATTTAATTGAACAGAATATTTAAACTACCAGGATTCCTGTTTTAAAATGGCTCAGGATCCAAAAGAAAGGAGATTCCTCTGTCTTGATATTTTTGAATGAAAATTTATTAAAAGAGAATGTTTTTCTCTGTCTAAGGATAAAGTGAATACATAAGCACAACATCAAAGAGAAACACAACAATTATTCCTAATTCAAGGCAGATTTTAGTTCAAGGAAAATTTAAATCAAATTGTCTTTAAGATGAAGATGGAAAAGTGGAGGAAGAATCTTCTGTTCTTTTTTCAGTTTTCTTTGTTCATAGAGCAGGAGAAATGCAGAGTCTAAGTTGGGTAGTTTTGAGTGTGTGGGGGGGGGAGGGAATAACAAGAAGGAAATGCTTTAGTCAGTTCGTACCACTTTTATTTCGCAGTGCTTTTCTTTAAATAAAAATGGAGAAAAATGGTACAGCATATGGGTCCATCTGTCATTCCAACTTTAAAATATTTAATTTTTTTAAAAAAACAGCACTATTTTGTTCACCGGCCATAGCAGAAGAAACACAAACCATTATAATGTGTTTTATTAAGATTGGGTACACTGTATTTCAGATATGTAATCGCTGCAGTCTGAATAATTTATTGTTGTTTCTAGAATAGCTTTGGTGTAAGCTTCTCTCTGTTCTTCTTCCTCCTACAGCCCCCGGAAGAAATCTATTCAGCAGGTGATTCTGTTTTACTCCATTTTCATACAGATGATACAATTAACAAAAAAGGCTTTCATATACGATACAAAAGTATAAAATATCAAGATAATGTTCACACTCAAAAATAACACAAGACACCCCTTAAGTCACAAAATTAAACAGAGAATGACTGTTTGAAGGGGTGGAGGGATTCTTTAAAAAAAAATATACTGACAATATTAACAAAAAGCAAAGATTTTTTTTTAGCCCATGATTTCAAACAGAAGAAAAACTGAAACATCCCACTCTTAGATAAACTCCTCTCTGTAGAGGAGCAGACATTGTGACGACATATGGTCTCCATTCATGGTTGTCTTTGCAAACTGCTGAAAAGATATTGCATGCTGTCCAAGGAGACTATAAGAGCTTTGTTCACAGCTTGACAAACGTCAGGGTTGTTTCCATCTTCAACAATAGGAAAAGATCCTGCTGACTGTAACTTTTTGACAAGTGACTTGAATCCAGGAGAGGAGAAAAAACTCACCTGCTACACAGGTCATGCACTTGAAAATGTTGTCTTTTTATTTTTCTTATCCTAATTGCATTGGGGGCATATCCAAGATTTAAAATGTACAAAGAAAAGTCATGAGAAGAGAAGAAAACCTGATTCTTTTTTCTATCCCTCCACATACTCATATAAAAACCTGGAAAACTGTATCTGCAAAATCATTAAATCTCTGGGCAGTTTTTGGTTCAATAACAAAGTAGAACTGATCATTTTACATTCATGGTTCACTATAAATACATTCAGACTTTGGATATTGTCAGTAACTGAGGGTATTAAGTGTATTATTGCTGAAGTACTGTAGTGTGCTAAGCTCTTACATAAGACTAAGAACCAAATCAGAATTGGTCTTTTGCCAGCCTAAGGCAAACCTCTTCCCAATGATCAGCAGACGGAATCAGGACCAGAATAACCCAACACATCAATCATAAATTTCATTCCACTGGGAAAAATGAACTGTTATTCTGCATTTCCTTGGAAATGTTTCTGTCAGGCTTGGAAGCCATCTTTTGTATTAGGCCTTCAGTCCTGCCACGTTTACTACTGTGGGAAACTTGGGAGGGGGGATTATATAGAGCATGGATGAACTAATTATTTTATTATTATTTTAAGCCAATATGGAATGAGGAAAGAGTTGTTTCAAAAAAAAAAAAAAAGGTTTCCCAAGCAATTGAAAAAGAGGATTTTTTTTTTTCTTTTTGTGGTGGCAAAGACTATTTCTATGGTGCTATTCCATGAACTTTAAAAGAAATTTCCACATCCCAAGTTACTAGATTTTTGAGCCAATAACCTGCTGATCAGAAATGAGTCATTATGCCTTGTTGCATATTAACAGGAACAGCTTTCTAGACATGAGAAAAGGATTATAACGATGGCAGCACAAACCCTGTGGAACAAACTACAATTGCCTTAGAATATTTGTACATGATCATACAGATCTTCTTGTAGATATGTATCTGATTTGATAGTTGATAACAACTTGAACATTTTAAATGTGTGTTCACAAAAATGATCCTTAAGCAAATTACCATTCACAGTACCAGATCATTAGTTGTAAATACAGCGCAGCAGACTTGTTACTAATGTAGAATATGTTATTTTTAGAAATTTTGTTGTATGTGCTTTAGGCCATATATGGATTTAGTCACAATGTATATGCATCATGTAAGTTAGTATGAATGAGTAAGAGTGAGAAGTGTTGTGTATGTATGGACAGGTAAATTGTACTTCATGTGCCAATTTATACCACAATCTCAACTGAGTGTAGCAACTTCTTTAAAGCTTTCATAAACATGACTGTAATAAAGAATCAAGAGCTATGAAATGTTTATGTTCCATTAAAAGAACTATTTTGATATCATTCGATGTTGGTTGCTACTTCGTTTAGTTTTTGTTTCCTTACCAGAATAAATACACTGGCATTAATATTTTTTTTTTAAAAAAACAATAAAATAAAACTAAGCATGTGTAGGTCTCATTGCTTCTATTTAACAGATGTTTCAATAGCAAATGACAAAAAAAATACTACACACCTTAACGCAGTCTTTAGAATATATTATTTAGGAGCTGGCTGACAAATGTTAATTTCATCACAAATTGGTGAAATATGGATGCGTTTGTATAATGCATATAACCAAAAACTAGATAAGCATATTTTAATTTAGTGCATTTTTCAAACCCAGGCTATATGGTTAATTTATTATTCACTGTATCCCTTGAAATTCATGATATTCATTGTATTACTCAGCAAGTGATGTAAACCATGTTTAAGCTAACCACGTACAAGCATGTTATGTAAACACAGCCAATGTTTTCCCTTGGGAATAGCAGACTATTGAAGCTTGAAGAAACAATGGTCAAGTTGAGCTTTACTGCATATTTTAATAAGTACAGAATAGCAAGGGCTGTATATGGGGACAAGAGCAATTTGTTATTCCAATGCTCATTTGTGGTATAGACAGCACTGTATGTTTTTGCTATATGGCTAAACCCATGCTGTTCTTGAAGCACACATGTTTGAGTATATGTATACCCAGTGGTGGGATTCAGCCAGTTCGCACCACTTCGGGAGAACCAGTTGTTAACTTTCTGAGCAGTTTGGTGAACTGGTTGTTGGAAGAATTCATTAGGGCAGAGAACCGATTGTTAAATTATTTGAATCCCACCACTGCGTATACCCAAACACCAACAGCACTGAAGCAGAAGCAAGTTTAGAAAGAATAACAGTGGGCATACACAAGAAAAACTACGTCAACGTAAGAGTTTTGTTTATAACTTTTGCTTCAACAAACTTCTTTAACATTTGGCAGAGCTCTGAGATCAGAATTACATTGGCTGATTTGGATATACGATTATGATTTGAGAAATCCAATCTGCATGTTCAGGTAGATGTCTACCAAAGTCAAACACATCTTAGCAATAATTTTGTAGTTTTGAATGTAGGATATTTGTATCATGGATTGTGCCAGTTTATTTAACAAGTTTACATTAGAGTTGCCATGGCAGTGCATTTCTTGAGAGTGTTTACGAAGAACTCTGTATTGTGAGATTTTGTGTGTGATTGCTGAAAGGCTTGGAAAAAAAATTGTTGCGAAATGTAAAATGCATTATTACCCAAATTGAATAAAAGTCCTTCAAACTACACATTATAAAAAGGTATCTAATTCTCTCCATTCTGTAGAAAACTGAATCACTCCTGAGTATTGACTATTTTCTATTTACTTATGCTGCCTTTCTTGGTTTAAATTAAAATACATAGTTAATAGGACAGTTATATTTAGAGTCTTTAAAGTGTAAAGATTGCATTCCAGCCCATCATAATGCAGTAGCAACCTATCTGCATATTCTGGAAGTAATGAAAGTTTCACAATTGAATGCAGAAGAAATTTGAAAGAAAAGGAAAGCTCCTTTTTTGATCATAATTTTTAACTGAAGAAGGAACTTTGCATTCTGGGGGACACCTGTATAGTAGTGGCCTGTACAATTGTGGAAACCTTTTGGGAAAAGTTTATTTTCTAAAACTAGCTAATAACACCACTATTTTTTGGAATAGTACCATAAAATTATATATCAATGGGAAGATAATTCAATCAAGAATGTAATGCAATAACTTTTATGAAGGATTGGCTATTAGAATAGCAGTTACAGTATAAAGAAGAAACACATTGAAAAAACAAGATATACAAAAATTATCACCCTAGAAAAAACGAGATATACAAAATTTAGCACGTCAGTTAACACTTCCAGTAGTTGGTAACCTTTAGCATGAATTACGGCCTTACAACATCTTTCCATAGAGTGAACCAAATCTTTTAATTCTGTAGCTGTTATAATGTGAAACCAAGATTGAATGATTGCTTCTATTAACTGGGTTTTATTGCTGGGTTGCTTCTGACTAACAAGTTTCTTTAGTCGGCTCCATAGATTTTCATTTGGGTTAAGGTCTGGGCTATTCCCAAGCCATTCCACCAGTGGAATATTATTATCTTGAAACTCCAAATAAAAAGTGGCGTTATTAGCCTCAAATTTCAAAAATACACTTTTCCCAAAAGGTTTCCATAATTTTGGCCACTACTGTATATTAAATAATAGCCACAAAAATACTGATATTAGGAATGTTAACCATACCATCTGTTGCTATGTATAACAGTATTTGGATTGATAATATCTTTAATATATGCAACTGAGTGTCTATTCCTCACGCACACACACTTAAGAAAAGAGTGGTATCTTTGGTATTATTGTAATTAAACTTATCATAAATGTTCTGCATTCAAAAAGGCCTTTTATTATCTCAGCTCTGCCATACTACTAAAATTACTGTGAAATAGAGCCACCTTCATGTATAGATATCTTTTATCATAATTCTTTGATTGTATCTGTTCAGTATTTTGAACATATTATTTCTTCATTAAAACACAGAATAATGGAAGCCCTTTTCCTTTTGTGTATACAGTTCTTGAGTTATGACCACAATTGGAACCAGAATTTCAGTCGCTAAGTGATGCAATTAAGCAAACCATCCTGTGAGGAGAACTGATTTTATGATCATTTTTACCATGGCCATTAAGTGAATCCCACGGTTAATAAGTAACTTGCTTCCGAAATTGACTGTTGGAAGCTGGCAGGGAAGGCCACAAATTGTGATTGCATGACTGCAATTTTCATAAATGCAAGCCGGTTGCCAAGTACCCAAATTGTGACATATGACACTGGGGGATGGTACAGGTAGTCCTTGACTCAAAACAGCTTGTTTAGTGACCGTTCAAAGTTACAACAGCACTGAAAAAAGTGACTTATGACCATTTTCACATATGACCATTGCAGCATCCCTGTGGTCATGTAATCAAAATTCGGATGCTTGCCAACTGGTTCATATTTATGACGGCTGCAATGTCCCAGAGTCATATAATTAACCTTTGTGACTTTCTGACAAGCAAAGTCAGTGGGGAAGCCAGATTCACTTAGCAAGCAGGTTACTAACTGCAATGATTCACTTAACAATTGTGGCAAAATGAAGTCGTAAAATGGAGCAAAATTCACTTAACAAATGTCTCACTTAGCAACATAAATTTTGGGCTCAATTGTGGTAGAGGACTACCTGTACTCTTAAATTAATGGTTGTAATTCAAAGACTACGTGTACGATGACAACATACATCTACAAACAGATCTAGCTTTAATCATAACTTTAAACACCTACTGATTTTGACTTCCATGGAGACACACGACTATAGGGTTGTTGTTTTTTTGCATATATTATATTATATATACCCTGTTTCCCCCAAAATAAGACATCCCCTGATAATATACGCCCAATTGGCCTTTTGAGCGCATGGCAATAAGGCCAAGCACTTATTTCAGGGTTCAAAAAAATATAAGACAGGGTCTTATTTTTGAGAAAACATGGTATGTACACACACAAACACATATAAAAATTGTATGTATGTATGTATGTATGTATGTATGTATGTATATGTATATATTTCTCTTTAGCCAGGTTCTTCCTATGTAGGAAGAACCTGGCTAAAGAGAAATACACATAAAGCCTACGAAAAGGAAAGAAAACAAGTATATGTACATGTATATATATGTATGTATTTCTCTTTAGCCAGGTTCTTCCTACGTAAACCAATATTTTTATGCAGCCCTAGTTCAGTGAAATCACAATCCACTAGTTTCTAAGCTTTTTTCAGGCAGCCAGCAAGCACCCTGCTGGGCAGCAGGGTGCTTGCTGGCTGCCTGAAAAAAGCCTAGAAATTAGTGGATTGTGATTTCACTGAACTAGGGCTGCATAAAAATATTGGTTTACGTAGGAAGAACCTGGCTAAAGAGAAATACACATAAAGGCCTACAAAAAGAAAAGAAAAAACAAATATATATGTATGTATGTGTATATATGTGTGTGTGTGTGTGTGTGTATACACACACACACACAAACACATACATAATTTTTTATTAAAACATTCACACAAGAAAATAAATGCTAGAATAAACTAATAACAAGAAAGAAAAAAAAGACATAATTCAAATAAAAAACCAAAAGGGGGAAAAAACTGTAAGAAAAGAAAAACAAGGGAAATTTTTTTAAAAAGTATAAAGAAGTAGCTTCCAATATTCTTCACTGCCGATATAAGTACAAATATATATCACATGTCTAAAATGACATCATCTTTATCTCCTTTTATAATTTGTCCTATCTAATCATCAGAACCATGTCACATTTTTTTCATCTTTATGCAAAAAGTGTTTAAGAGTCTTTCAGTCAGCAATAAACATGGGTAATCTCTTTTCTTTAATTAAAAAGGTTACTCTACCAATAGACCCTGTAGGTAATGCTTTAATAAACAATGTTGGGTAAACTAAAAATAAAAATGAATTCAATGGCTGACAGAAGACTAGCAAGCACTAAAGATACTAATTGTTCCTTTTTACTTAAATAAGTTAACATTTTTATTAGGCATCCTTCAAACATAGATACTATCTAACACTACCTAGGCGTTACTATAGTAAAAACATCTTTTCATTTGTCTGCATTCTCAGACATAAGGATTTTTTTGTACTCAATTATCAATATGTATGGTTTTCAATGTATAGTTGTCAGGGCAACATTTTCACATACATTTTCCCAATGTTCTTTTTAAATGAAACATTTCTCATTGTGTGCTATTCGTTTTAATACAAATTTCCTGAATGGTTATTGGAATTATTAACAATATATGTGGTTTTCATATAAATATCAGAAACAGGTGCTTTTGGTATTTGTGTTCCAAATATACAGATTGTCAGCATACAATTCATTTGTGTGGCACCTTTTAACCTCTGTATTATTTTCTACAGTATAATAAATATCTCTGCAAAACAATTGAAAAAGAATTTGAACAACTTGCTGTATATTTTTGTGTAAATTGAAGCACCTTGCAAAGAAAAATAGAGACGTGAATGAGAAAATAGAATGATGAAAATGATGAAACAAAGTTATAGCCAGTAGCCAACATTGCTTCATCAAAAACAAATCATGCCAAACGAATCTTATTTCATTCTTTGACAAAAAGATTAAATTTGTGGTTCAGCGAAATGCTGTGGTCATAATATACTTAGAATTCAGTAAAGCTTTTGACAAACTAGACCACAACTTACTTCTTGGTAAGCTAGAAAAATGTGGGATAGAAAGCATCACCACCAGATAGATTTGTAATTGGCTAACAAATCAATAAGCAGGGGGTTGGACTAGATTAGAAGACCAAGGCCCCTTCCAGCTGTATTCTGAATTCAAATTCATTTTCTCCTCCCTACTATTTGATAGGAAGTGATCCCTGTTATCAAGACAACTTTACTCAATTAGATACATCTCTGAAAATACAAGGACCATTGTTAAACAATAGATATTTTGCTGAATCAGACAACAGTCAAATTAGCTCCATCAACACCATGTTATGTAGAGAAATGAACAGGGCTTAAAAAAAAAAACAATGCATAGAAAAATAGTTTTCTCTGCTCTTTAGCATTTATTATCGGATTTTAAAACAAAGCAAACACTGTTATTCTGAATGATCTCCTAATGCAATCCTCTGCTACAATCTGAGAACTAGGAAATTCAACAAGATGTAGGATTACTGGGTATATTTTGTGCAGGTCTGTGCTACCTTAACAAAACTGATTTTCTGTATTGCAATTCAGACAGAGAAGTATTATTTTAGTTTAATTAATTCCAGTGCATTTTGTCAAGCCTTGGATGTGCCTATATTGAATTGTGGCACAGGACTTTATAGCATCTGTTTCAAGCTTATTGAAACAGAGGTTCAAGGCACTTATGTTGAGTTTCTATCTAAAAACATACTAAGTATTACGCTTCCTATAGGTGAGATGAGTGTTTAGTTTTTTAACAAGGTATATCATGTCCTCTGGAGGGGATGCGGTGGCTCAGTGGCTAAGATGCTGCGCTTGTTGATCGAAAGATCAACAGTTCAGCGGTTTGAATCCCTAGTGCTGCATAACGGGGTGAGCTCCCATTACTTGTCCCAGCTTCTGCCAACCTAGCAGTTCGAAAGCACATAAAAAAATGCAAGTAGAAAAATAGGGACCACCTTTGGTGGGAAGGTAACAGTGTTCCATGCACCTTTGGCATCTAGTCATGCCGGCCACATGACCACGGA